GAGAGAGAGAGAGAGAGAGAGAGAGAGAGAGAGAGAGAGAGAATACTGGCGGGCTTTCTAGGAGGTCAGAAATTGCTCTTGGAGGGAAAGCCTCAGCCAGCTGGGCTGGTTTTTGTTTTTTTTTTACTAATGACACAAGAACTTTATTGAAACTTTTGGCAGAATGAGCTTAATTGAGATGGTTCTTGAGGATACAAAAAAGTAACTTTAAAAAAGAATTCAAGCCCCCAGATGCCTGATGAGAAACAAGCGCTGGTGTGGAAATGCCAGAGAAGGCACAGAAACAAATGTAGGCAATTTGGGATAATGCTCATCTCCACCCAGGTTTCTAATTTCTAATCAGAGAGTGGATGGAAGCATAAAATCTGTGGCCAAAGGAAGGCTGGGAGATGCGGCAGACTAAATTCAGCCGGGCTGGTTTTGATCAGCCTTCCAACCCGCTCTGGGTGTCGGGGTCCGTGAAGATTCTGTCTCGGTGCAGGAAGCCAGGGAAGGGTTCAGCGGGGTAGGCTGGGGAATGGCCTAGGGCACTGTTAGGGGCTGAACCGTGCCCCTCAGAATGTTTGTGCATGTACTGACCCCCACAAACTAAGAATGTGACCTTATCCGAAAGCAAGCTTGCTGCAAATATAATTATGTAAAATGAGGCAATCCTGGAGTAGGAGCTCTTAATCCAATATAAATGGGTTCTCAGAAGAAGAGGAAAGAGGAAGACTCCCACAGGAAGACCCAGAGACTGAGGGGAGAAGACAGTGTGAGGTTGAAGGTAGAGACCGAGAGGTGCAGCTACAAGCTGAGAAACACCAAGCGCTGCCAGAAGCCCTGGAAGCTAGGAGAGAACTTGGAGGAGACTCTTCTGTAGAGCCCTCAGGGGAACAACCCTGCAGGCGCCGAAGTTTCAGACTTTTAGCCTCAGAAATGGAGGACCTACATTTTTCCTGTTTCAAAGCACCCAGGTGGTGGCACGGGAGCCCTAGGAAAGTAACCCAGGCATCATGAATGAATGGAGTTAGGGGCTTTGGGTTCTTGGAGGGGGTGGACTCAGCCCTGGAGAGCACACCAAGCCCTGGCTGAGGTCTCAGAGCAGCTTCACTGTGTCAACTTGATTGTTCTGAGAGCCACCCATGGGACTGGTGGGACCCACATCAGAGTGTGCCTGAGGGGAGCAGGGAGGTGTGACCCTGTACTATATCTGGTCCTTGCTCGTCCTCTCTGGGGCCGTCCCCTGCTTTGCTTCCTGGCTGCCATGAACTAAGCAGTTTTGCTGTACTATGCCCTTCCACCATGATGTTTCTGTCCTGGAGTCAGCTTCCCATGGACTGAATCCCCTGAAACCATGAGCCAAATTAAAATTCTCTGCCATCATGTTGTGGGTTTTGGGTATTATGTCTCAGTGATAGGACACATGACTAAAACATGCCATGTTCCTAGATGATCGGTTTAGGGGGTCAACGATTGACTGCATCAAGATTAGCCAGTTGCTTGCCAGAAATTTTGGAATCAGGAGAGAAAGAGCCCATCTGGAGAAATGAGGGGCCTGTGGTCAGCAGCCATTCTGCCGTGTCAACAGGAAACCAGAGAGACTTCGCTGCAGCCCAAGAGAGGAAAGGTAGTCTTGGATATTGGGTACAATTTAAAAAACCTTAAAAGCAAAGACAACCAAGTAAATACAGTAATGGCAGGTCCAAGAAACAGAGCCCAGGCATGGTGTGATGCTGGGTGTGACTGTCCACGGCCAGCCAGAGCAGGATGCAGTGAGGCAGGGGCCGGGACATGGGCTCACCCACAGTGTCTGGAGCACAATGCTTGGGTGCAGGGCTCCGTCATCCCTGGGACAGACTTGCGCTCACTTCTGCATTGAAACAAAATGCAGCCACCCCCTAATCTGTGGGAATGTGTTTCAGGACTCCCAGTGGACTCTGAAATCATGGCAGTACTAGAGCCTACGTACATTTTGTTTCAATGCATACCTTTAATAAAGTTTAATGCACAAATTAGACATGGTAAGAGATTAACAATTCTTGATGAGCTACAACAATATACTATAATAAAATGGACAGAGGCACTAATCTTGCGCTTTGGAACCATTATTAGGAAAACAAGGATCCCTTGAATACAGTACTGCAGTGTTGCGTGTCACTCCGATAGCTAAGACAGCTACCAGGCGACTGTCTCAGTCACCTCCTCTTCCCTGGGACAAAATCCCCAGCTCCCACAGCCTAAAGGAGGAGAGGTTTATTTTGGCTCCTGTTTCCATCCGTATTGGCACAGCGCAGGGGGAGCATGCTCCTGTCCAGGCAGCCAAGAAACAGAGGGAAGGGAGGCACCGGGAGGGGGGTGTGCCTTCTGGGTCTCAGCCCAACTCCTAGCGGCACATGTGACGGGCACAGAGCCCAGCAATCTGTCGCCTTCCCAGAGCCCCGCCCCGAACACACGAGGCTCTCTGGGGCCCTTGCAGATCTAACTTTGGGAGATATCGGACCCAGGCTCCGTTCATCCCAGGCAGGGCGCAGCGGGATGGCCAGAAGCGCCGTGGTGTACCCAGAACAGCACGGTGTGCAATTTAAAGCTTAGGGCTGTTCACTTCCGGACATCCCCATTTCATCTTTTCAGACCACGGCTGATTTGGGGGTAACTGAAAGCAGGAGAGTGAAACCCCGATGACCGTACCTTGGAATCGCGGATCACGTGGAACTTCAGATACCCCTTCAGCTTGTCCTCGTTGTCCGGGCTGAACAGGAAATCCCGCTGCTCCTGGGGGAGAGCTTGCAGGGCGCGGTCCGTGGGCCAGAAGAGAGTGACAGGCGTGTGGATGGGGTCGGTGATGACGCTCAGCAAGCCCGAGTCCTGCAAGGCAGGGAGCCAGCCTCGCCGCCCACCCACGGCTCGTGGGGACCCCTGGTGCCCCTGTCAGAGTGACACAGCCAGCAACCAGGGGGCCACCACGTGCCTGCCATTCTGATGGCATTTCCTTAGGAAGCAACTCAGAAAGTTAAATTCTAAGTTTCTGCCAATAGGAAAATAAACCTAGGGTTTAGTGAACATTTTTTCTATACACTGTTTTTGCCCTAATATTGAAATTTCTGAAGGACTTGCTTTGCATTTTTCTCCTATTTTATTTTAAAAAGTAAAGCCTGTACAATAGTGAAATATTCCTTTCTACTTATAGATTTCTAGATCATTTATACAGCAAAAAAAGAATTGCAAAATGAACGGGGAGGAACCTTTTCGAGAGCCTTCCACAGCCAGGGTGCACCATAAACATTCCTATCATCTAATTTTTCCAATAACTTTATAGTTCTTTTTTTTTTTTTTTTTGTGCTAAGGATCGAACTCAGGACCCTGCACTTACGAGGCAGGCGGCAGCACCACTGAGCTAAATCCCTGGCCCTTCCCACTACCTTTATGAAGAAGGCTCTGTGATCCCCTTTCAGGGAGCCCGGGAGAGGCTGCCTTGTCTAGCCAGATGCTGGTGCCCAGGACTGGGGTGACCGTGAAATTTCAGGGGTGTGAAGGCGGGCAAAGGTTACTTGCCATGACCCCCTTGGGGAGCCTTCAGCTTGAACATCTTGAAATCCCCATTTCTACAAATTCTCCAGAGAGTTGCAGACCCAGGTCATTTGGGTCTGATGCTGAGGTTTCCAGACTGCGCTCTGGGGGCCCTTTGGGGTCTGCCTAGGTTAGGGCCTCACTCATCTGAGCGTGATCATCCATCTGAGCAAGCAGGATCTGCTCAGCTCCTGCAGATGGTCTCTGAGTCAGAAAGACTCAGTTTCAAACCCGGACTCCCCACCTACCGGGTGTGCACCCCTCGATTTCCCCTCTGCTTCCCTGTGTCTACAGTGGGGCTAATTCCGGATGTGCAGCCCCTCAGCATAGGGGCGGATTACTTCCTTGCCCTCTCCCAGCCACAGATGCCTCCAGCTCGGACGGCCAGTGCTCTGTCTGTGATTCTGCTTGTCTCACAACACTGGAGGGTGGAGTGGCAGGGAAGGGGGATTTTCCCCATCGGGACTCAGCCCGCTGCACACCCAGACCAGCAAACGAAAGACGGAGCCCAGCAGAGCGGTGGGAGAGGTATCCTGAGTGCCGTGGCCCGAGGCTGGTACCTGCAACAGTTTGCTGAACCGGCCGTAGCCGTGCTTTGCTGCCACCGTCGTAAGGTTTTGCTGCAAAGAGAAGAAGGATGTGTGACAGCTGTCCTCACAGACTCAGGGAAGGAAAGTAACCCGGGTCTGGAGAGGCCACAGCCCCACCCACTGCTCCTCTGCCCCTTTGCCTGACAGGTGCCAGGGCCACACACCCCATTTCCCGTGCTTCTTTGTGCAGGGCCAGGCTTGGGGTAACAGGAGAAGTGGCAGCTGTTGGCAGGGAGTGGGACGCCCTGCCGCATGATGGTGGGGCAGCTGTGGCCCAGTCTCGGGGGGCTGGGCGAGGTCAGCTGTCCTCCCTGGCGGGTGTCCCTGGGCTGCTTTGCTCCCACTGTGTAGCATCTAAATGAGGCTCTGGCCTTCCAAGAGGCCGGGTGATGCACACAGTTCTGTAGAAACCCCGTTATGTGCCAGTGGATTGAGCGGAGTCTGTAATGTGCCCTGAAGGACCCTAGCCCATACCAGTTGATAAAAATAAAGCCCAAATGGTCTTTTGTGTCCACTGAGCAGGAGTTCTACTCTAGGTTTAGTTGTAGTAATATCGAATTCTTTCCTTTCTCCCGTGCCTCCCCTCTATTTTTTCTTCTTTTCCCATCTTACAGATGGAAAAATCTATGCAGACCACCTGCTCTTGTGCGTACTAAATTTCTCAGCCTTGAGTGTCAACTTGCCTGGCTTGAGAGAAGCCTAGGACCTTAGCCAAGCACACTTCTGCGTGTGTCTCGGTGGGTCAGGGGACACGACCTTGGGTCTGTGTCAGGTCTCTGGTACCTTCCTCTGGGTCTCTCCCCCTGCTCTCTGCTTGCTGAGCCCTGCAGTAAGCAGCGTTCCTCTGCCACTCCCTCTGCCATGATGTTTCTGCCTCTCCTCACACCCGCGGCAATGGAGCCAGCTAGCCATGGACGGAAACCTCTGAAACCGTGAGCCAAATAAACCACGTCCTTCTCTGTACGTCAGGCATTCTGTCCCAGCAATGGTAAAGAAACACAAAATCCATTTCTCATTTTTTTACAAGTCAAAGTCTCACTGTGTTGCCCACACTGGTCTTGAATTCCTTCTGCCTCTGCCCCCAGATAGCTGGGACTATAGATGCTCACCAGGGCACCCAGTTAAAACGCATGTATCGATTTCCAATAGACCTTTCCTTTTTCACTTCTTCCTAAGAATAATGTTTACTAGGCTTTTAAGGACAATTTGAGATTGAAGCAGCAATGCTTGAGATGAAACATCCTGAGCCACCCACAGCAGGGGTGGGACATGCGGTCACCTACCAGAATCCTTCCCATGGAGTCTCTGGGGGAGGCCAGCAAGTTCCTCGGCGACAGCAATTTGTCTATGATGTGGACGACTCCGTTAGTGTTGATGATGTTGCCGGATATGATCTTGGCCTGGTTATTTATATACACTGCATCCTGCCATCAGCCAAGATGAAAACGAACACAAAGAGAGAAACAGACACAAAGATCACTTCGCACAAAATGCTTCTCTAATAGGTTAGGTCATCAGGGCCCAAATCGGAAGACTGGAGGCACCTGCATACTTTTCCTATTACGATTATAAAAAGAAAACTGAGACAGGAGTGTGATTTTTACCTGGAGAAGTTAACGGCAAATAACATATAATCAGCCCAAACAGTCATTTCAGTATGACTGTGAAATATGAAATAAACAGGCAGCTCAGAATCACCTTCTTCTTAGAAGATTTAAAATTGTAGTCATGAACACATATTAATTCTGATCATAGCATTAGCTGGGACATTCCATAGTGTGGATCGCGCCCATCTACCCTTCTACCCCCTTCCCACTCCTGGCTTCCTTCCTTCCTTTCTTCCTTTATTTATTGATTGATTGATTGATTGTGGTTTTTTTTTTGAGACAGGGTCTTGCTATGTAGTTCAGGCTGGACTTGAACTCACTATGTAGCCCAGGTTGGCCCTGAACTTATGGCGATTCTCCTGCCTCAGCCTCCTGAGTGCTGGGATGACAGGCGTGCACCACCACACCCCACTTCTTGGTTTCCTTTTAATGTGCTCCCTTCAACACCCCCTCTACTTTCTCCCTTTGCCTACCTCTAAGTTTGAATTCCAGCCCAGCAATTTTCTTGATATCCTACTCTGGACGCACTAGTTAACCTCTGGGAGCTCTTTCTCCATGTGGAAACCAGCAATAACGTGCCCACCGACCCTCGCTGTCTCCAGGCGGCAGAGTCAGCTGAGATGAAATGTAGAGCCCCCTCCCCCCCGTCACTGCTATTATTCTCGCTGTTACCTGGAGGGGCACAGCGTGGGCAGTGCCCGGGGTGGCACTCTTACCTGAGAGACGGAGATGACAATCCCCTCTCCTTGGAGGGAAGTAACGTTCGGGGTCAGTTTCAGGTTTTCCAGAAGCAGCTGGTGGCAGGCGACCACGTGGTACCGGAGAACCTGGGGCATGAGGCCCTGGCTGTGCCAGTCTTTAATCTGCAAGGGAGACAGAGGCGGGAGCCCCTCGCTGGAGCCTTCTCTCCCGTCCAGTCCTCTCTGCTGTCCCCACCCACCCCGGGAGGTGGCAGTCAGGTGAGCTGTGTCGGGGCTCAGGGAGAGGCTGTGAAGCCTCCACTGCAGACTCGGTGAGCAGGGGCCTTGGGTCCCCGATGCAGCACTTCACCGGGGTGCAAGGATCCCGGAGCACGATGACATGCTCCATGAAAAGTGACACTCCAGCCTGGCGCGGGGGATGGCGCTGTCAACCCAGCACTCTGGGAGGCTGAGGCAGGAGGATGCCAAGTCTGAGCTCAGCTTGGGCAACATAATGAGACCCTGTATCAACAGGAAAAGTGAGAAAGGGGGCTGGGGATGTAGTTCAGTGTGAAGGCCCGAGTTCAATCCTCAATATAGAAAAAGAAAAAAAAAGGCATAAAGAAAAAAAAATAAAAAAGAAAAATATCTCTTGGAGAGGCAGTGGGGCTTCACTTAAACCTTCAGCATTGCAAAAGACCAGGATGTATCTCCACTGGGAGTCAAAAATACAAACAATATTAATCCTAAAGGCGATGTAATAGAAGCCCACAAAATTCTCACTGCTTTGTCATAATTCTTTTGATGCTTTAAAAAAACTAACAGATGTCAAAGTGTGTTTGTGCCTCGCATCCCTGGTGTTCAGAACATGCACAGGCAGGCAGGGTCTGGCCTGGTTAAGGATGGGTCCTCGCTGGGGCTGGGCCGGGGTGGACCCTGGCCCTGGAGCCCCTGCGGAGCATGCGCAGGGCAGCAGGAAAAAGAAAAGTGCTCCATCTGCCACCTGCCACTTCTCAGGATGGTGTGAGGATCAACTGAGTCCTTCAAGCCGGGTCCTCAGAGCAGGGCCGGGCAGACGCAGGAAGTGTTCGCTGCTGTTACCACCCATGGGTAACACGGCAGGAAGAGTCCCGGTGAACACTAGACCCGTAAAGGCTCTGATAAGTCCCGCAAGACAAGGCACTCTTTAGATGCCTTTAATCCAGCACCCTACTCCAACCCCATTATTTACTTATGTATTTTTGGTCCACGCAAGGACTCGTCAGTCTTCTCCAACTTCCTACTCTGTTTACGAAGGTCCTTTAGAAGGACTCTGGCCGGTTTTACCCCCAATCCACCCGGGTGTCCCCCCCACAGCCATGCTGAGAGACAACCGCATCTACTGCTCCTTAGCTCCGCCTGATCCTAAAGTCCTGCCTGGAAATGCCGCCACTGTTGGTTCCCGTGCAGGGTCCCCAACCTCCCACCTGCCCACAGCCTGCAGCTCACCTGGGGGTCCTCGCTGAAGGCTGCAGACAAAGGCGCGAACACGGTGAAGGGGCCCGGCCCTGCCAGCTCTCGAACTCCGTGCTCCTGTGGGAGGGAGGAGGCCGCACAGTCACTCAACCACGCGGGCCGGGACTCCAGCGAGTCCCCAGATGCTGGCGGTGGCCCAGCGGAGAGAACACTGGTTGGATGGAGAGACCAGTGTCTCACTTTCGGATTCCAACTGAATCCAGAATCTTTGACATCCAAATCATGTTTTTTTTTTTCTAATTATAAAACCAACACAGAGCCGGGCTGAGGCAGGAGGATTGCCATGAGTTTGAGGCCAGCCTGGGCCTCAAGTGAAATCCTGTCTCACCCCCGCCCCCCGCCAAAAAAAAAAAAAATGAACACATGCTTCTTGTGTGACAGAGTTTGAAAATACATCACAGGGAGGAAAACAACAGCTCCCTCTATCATTTTACCAGCTAGAAGCAATTTTGTTATTAAATTTTTCTTTTTTGGTACCAGGGATAGAACTCAGGACCTCATGTTTGCCAGGCAGGCGGCAGCACCACTGAGCTAAATCCCCAGACCTGTTATTCAATTATTAATCTCAAGTTTTCTTCTCCAGTGTTTCTTTTCCATGCCAATATTTTACATAATGGAGAGAACTGTGTGTGTGTGTGTGTGCGCTTTGCTGTCATAACTGTCTTCTTGTAACTGTAAGATCATATGGTTGCTATGACTATATTTTCTTCTAGTGTTTCAGTGACTTTATTCTTGTAGGTCGTACATTTCATTCCTCAGTGTGTCTGGAATCTACTCAGGTGTACAATGTGCAGGAAGATCAGAATTGCTATTTTCCTTTTCTTTCTTTTTTTTTTTTTTTGAGGCAGGGTCTCCCTTTGTAGTTCAAGCTGGCCCTGAACTCACTATGTAGCCCAGGCTGGCCTTGCAGTGATCCTCCTGCCTCAACCTCCCGAGTGCTGGGATTACAGGTGTGTGCTTCCACACCTGGCTCCCAGAATTGCTATTTTCACCTGAAGTGCTAACTACTTGCCCTGGGTTCGTTTCTTTCCTCCACTGATGAGATGGGTGTCTTCTTGTCTGCAGTCACGTGGCCTCAACCAGGGACACATTCTGAGCAACCCGCTCCTGGCTGATTTTGACACAGGGAACCCAAACCTCAGCACCTGGCTTCGAGGTGTGGCCTGTGGCTCCAACAGTGAATGGCACGGTGGTTGCTCAGGTGTGGACAGAAGAGGTTCGGGCCATGGAGGAGTCACAGGACAGGGAGTGGCTCGGGGACCCATGAGGGGCACAAGGCCTCAGCCACCGCTGTCCACTGCGCTGTCCCAGGGCGATGCTCCATTCACCAAATGTCTTTTCTTTCTTCAATAATGAACTCAGCCTCCTGTAGCTTTTTACTTTATACACTTAAAGTTTTTTTAGTTTTTTGATTCTTTTGTGGTAACAGCCTAAAACACAAATGTACTATACATCTGTGTAAATATTTCTATCTTATATTATCATTCTTCTTTCTTTCTTTTTTTGGAGACAGGGTCTCGCTGTGTAGCCCAGGCTGGTCTCAAACTTGCAGCCATCCTCTTGGCTCGGCTTTCCAAGTTCTAGGACTACAGGCGTGCACCACCACACCTGGACTCTTACAGTCTTATTCTATACACTTATTTTTATTATTTTATTTTTAAAACACTTTTGTTAAAAGTGAAGACATGAACACAAATAGCAGAGTAGGTTTGTTCACACCAGCACCCGCTGCTTACAAAGGTGCATAATGAATTGTGCACTGACGTCACCACGGCACGGCACGTCGCTACGTATGATATCACCACCGCAGGATATGGCGTCATCACGGCACGGCATGACGCCACCACGTCACCATTGTACAATAGGGTGCTGCAGGGACACATGATGATGCCATCACGATGAAGCCACCATGGTTATGACGCCACCATGGTTATGATGCCACCATGATTATGATGTCACCGTGCTATGCCATCGGCATGGGATGATGTCACTGAACAATGGAAACTGTCAGCTTTATGATCACGTGGGACCACCACTGTTCACGTGGCACGGTGTTGGCAGAAATGTTAGTAGGTGGCAGCTGACTGCACTGTGTTCTTTTGTGTAACAGGGGCAGTGCTGTCCCCCACAGCCCCAGGACTGAGACGTGCAGTTCACAAATGACCAGCAACAGGCCTTGCTCAGCCCAGAAACCCAGGGTCCCACACTTTTCTTCTTCCTTCACCAACTCTGGGGGCTGCAGCAGGACCAGTTTGAGACCTGACTCTCAAAACTTTCTTTTTTTGCAGCACTGGGGATGAAACCTGGGCCTGGGGCCCAGTAGGCAAGTGCCTGCCACGGAGCCCCTGCCAGCCTGGGACCCACTTCTTGGCAGACAGAGGTGTGCGCTCTTACCTGCAGCTGGAAGAAGTACTGGGATGTTTGGGGGTTCTTGGGGAGCTCCTGCAGAAAGAGACAGGGTAGTTTTGCCTAAGGCCTGTGGATTGCAAGTACATCTGAGAACAGCACTGCTGCAAAGGATGAGTTTTCTAAGGTGGCAAGGACCTGCCACCCCCCACCTAGAAATCTGTGACATGGGCCTTCCTTGGACCCCTCCTGCAGGCTTGGGGTGAGCTCATGTGACAATGTGGACACATTTTGTGTCCAAACCTTTTTGCAATCTCCATCTGATTCATCACAGAAAGACTCAGCTACTTGCAAAGCCTCTGCACTCTAAGAGCCTTTTAAAATTGTGCTCAAACATTTAAAAAATATTCCAAATGTAGCCGACATAGCTTAAGAAACTGGTTATAGGTTTATGGCAGATTTGACCTCTTGATCAGCAAGAATATTCGATCAGCCAGAATGCCCAAGCTTGTAATAGGTAGAAATCTACAAGTACCAAACCCTCTCATTTTCTATGTCCTACACAGGTGTGCACGGGTGGGCACACTCCTAACACGCGCAGGCACACGCACACACACACACATGCACAGAGACGCCCACAGCAGTCCATGTCATGGCAGTGCTCTTGAGCTGTGAGCTGTGTGTCCTTTACACACATCCCTACTTAATCCCTTTAACAGCCTGACAGGGTTGGTACCATCATTATTTTCTTTTATAGATTTAAACACCTAGAGAGGTGATGTAGTACACTTAAGAGTCACAGCGTCACCACCTGGTGGAACTGAACCCAAACCCAGGTGTTCCTGACTCCAGAACTTTGGTCAATCTTCTATTCTCTCTTTCTTTCTTTTTTTGAGACAGGCTGGCTTTGAACTCAGTATGTGGCCCAGGCTGGCCTCAAACTCACAGTGATCCTCCTGCCTCAGCCTCTTGAATGCTGGGATGACAGGCGTGCACCACTGAGCCCGGCTATTGGTCCATCTTAATCATGACACACTCCTCACTCACACACCCAGGCCCAGTGAATTCCCGTGGGCAGGCGACATTTCGTTCCATTGCCAAGTTCTATAAGCACGGCCCTTCCCATTTTTGTGGGGCTTTATATTTCATGAAGCCCCGGTGTGGGCCTCAGGGTTTCTTCGTGGAGACGTCCTTGTGTTACCTCATAGATGTAGCCCCGGCAGGTGAATCCGTCCCCGATGTAGTTCTGCTTGCAGGTACAAGTCCTCTCGCCTGTCCCAGTGTGATTGCAGATGGCGTAGGGGCTGCAGCCGCCGTTTTTCTGGTAATATTGCCAAGGGGTGGGGATGGGGTAAGACAGTTAGTTTGTCAGCCCTGCCAATATCTGACAAGCAATTCTGCATTGAAATTTATTTTTGGAGGGCTGGGCTGTAGCTCAGTGGTAAAATGAGGACTTGCTTTGTATGTTTGAGGCCCTAGGCTCAATGCCTAGCACCACAAAAAAACAAAAGAAAAACAAAATCCCCAGACAACAAAAGAAGTGACTCTTTTGTCTCTGTAAGTATGACAGGTGACATTATTTGCTTTTTTCCTGAAGTTGATGATTAATTCCTTGTAGTTACAAGGGCCACCTTATACTCCAAGACCGATCCTAGCAGATCCCAGCCCTCTCTAGATAAAGCTGAATTAGAAATCTCCCAATCAGAAGTTTCTCAGCACTTGGGGGCTACCTTCTCTCTCTCCTCGCAAGCTGAGCAAGCCCATCTGGGCCGGGCTCTGCCTCCCTCCTCTGGCTCCCAGACTGGAGGCCCCCGCCTGCATATGGTGACCTCCCCTCCACCGTGACAGACGCCACCGTCTACACTTTTCTGGTACAGCTGATGTCCCTCTCTCTGGAAACCACATTTCATGTCCCCTCTCCTCCACTCTGTCACAGCACCTCACTCAGTGAGTGAGCTTGGCTCCTAGCTCCTGGGTACAACAGACACAGGGGACCAAAGCCCTTCCCCATCTGTCCATCCCCGAGTCACCGCGTGCATCTGCAGGGAGAACTTCCACCCTGTCCGCACAGTCTCTACCGTGGTCTGAGCGTCTGAATCCCTCCACCCCCCAATTCCTATGCTGAAATCCTAGCCCTAAGGTGATGGTATAAGGAAGGAGTGGGGCCTTGGGAAGTCAGTAGGTGCCCTCCTGAGTGGATTAGAGCCCTGCAGGAAACTCAGCCATCCCTTCTACCAAGTGAGGACACATGGATCCACACACGCAACTATGTACTGAAGACGCCATCTATGAACCAGGAAGCAGCCCCTCACCAGACACAGAACCTGCTAGTGCCTTAATATTGGACCTCCCACCCTTCAGAACCCTGAGCAATAGATTTCTGTTATTTATAAGCCACCCCATTTGGAGTATTTTCTTATAGCAGCCTGAAAAGACTTCTCCTCATGAATGTTCTTACTACCTAAAACTCTTTTTAAACAAATCCATTATTTATACATCTATATACAGACTAATAATCTATATTAATAATCTATATATAGATTATTGATATCTGCATGTAAATTCTTCCTACACGTAAATTCTTTAAGGACAGAGACTGCTCCGGGCAGAGGACAGTACCTGGTACACGGTGTTAACACCGTGCTGGGTTCCCACACCCAGGTACACAGCGACATGTATGGTCCCTATCTTCAAAGAGCTAACTATCTGGAATGGTCGGCCATGGTCACTGTCAAGTTAACTGATCGCAATGGGCCACAGCCGCAGATGTTCCTGTCCAATCACCATAAGGGCTGTGGTGGCTTAGAGGCTGCGGAAGCTTCTGTATGCTGGGAGCTTGGCGTGATTCCTAGAGGATGAGGCATGAACTCTGCTTGACCTGTGGCAGGGACCTGGGCAGGGGGCCAGGGCTGCCCCCAGGCTGCCTCAGTCCGAGAGGCAGTGTGAAGGCACGGGGCATTTGGGTGACCCAGTGGTTATGATCATATTCATAATAACAAAAGCTAGTATTTGCCAAAGACCAAAAAACAAGACTTTATGAACGTTAGCTCAGTGAATCCCCAGGCTAATTCTGAGGGAGGCATTATCTTGATCTACAGAAGGGGAAACTGAGGCACAGGGAGCTCAAGGTGTTTCACCAAGTCTCCCCCAGCCAGCAGAGTCAGGATTCCAATGCAGGTGCGCGGTCAGCCTCGGGGAAGCCTTTGGGAGTCCAGCAAGGGGGAGACGGGGCCACACCCTGTGCTTCTCTACCGCCAGGGTAGGGGACTGTTCCCCGGGCAAGCGCAGCCATGAGGTTCGTGTTGCAGCTTGAATGACGAATGAGGTGCTTCTGAGGTGGGCACCCTAGAACGGATAAGACGGCCCCTCTGGCCCTCACTGTCGCTCCCTCTGGGCCCTTCTGCCACGCAATGCCACCGGCCATGAGACACACGGCGAGAAGGCCGTGAAACGCTGGCACCTTGACCTCGACCTCGCTTGGCTTCCAGACTGGAGAAAGAAATCTGCTCATCATGAGTTACCCAGCGAGGCGTCCTGCTCTGGCAGCACAAAGGAACCCAGGCAGTCGGCATGACAGCAACGCAGAGGAGGGACTGTCACATGGTCTGCGGTGCTGGGACTTGGGCAGAAGTTGGTGGCTCTTGGGCCACATGCAGCTTCCTGAATGTTTTAACTCAAGGTTTAAAAGCCTTTTAAAATTAATTACCTCCTCTAAAACCCGGAAAATGTGTATAAAATTCATTTCTCTCTGAAAAACCAGAAGCATGGCCAGCTCTGGGCTGGCGTCGCTCGCAGTGGGAGGGAGCTGGGCGGATGGTGCCCACCCCTGGGGGTCCTCTCTGGATTAATGTCCCTGCCTGGCCCCGAGGGCATGTCGGGCCCTGAACACCGTGGGATGGGGTTAATTCCCGAGGACAGGTGCTGCTGAGAGCGTGGCAAGGAGCCTTCTCCCAGGAGTCTTTTGGCCAAAACAAGGTGATCAATTTTGAGGAAGTGTGAGCAGTCCGTGGAGGAACTGCTGTCACAGCAAAGCTGGCTGTGGGTCCAGGGCCAGCAGCTCCAAATCCCAGCCCAGCGCTGCTCTCTGCAGCCTCCTCCTTAGCGTCCTCACACGGTCATTTTGTGTGGAGGACTCTGTTCTCTCAAGGAGCCTGCCAGAGCCTCCCAGGGAGCCAAAGGGCAAAGGAAGGGCTGTGATTGCTGGCTGCCAACATCTGGAGGTGCTCAGGTGCCCAGTGATGTCAAATCAGGGCACCTTTGGGGCTTACAGCCTTGCAGAGAACCAAGCATAAGAAGAGCTGGATCGAGAGGGTGGAGTTAGACAGACATGGGTTCAGGTTCTGGCTGTGCTGGGTACTAAGTTCGTGATCTTGGACAAGGATCTCTGTTCCCACCAGCTTGTAGGGGGTGGAACTGTGATCCCGGAAGAGACACGTGCGAGGCCTGAGCCTCCCTCTCTGAAATGTGACCTTATTGAGAAAGAGTCCACAGACGTAATTAAGGAACTTGAGGTGAGTCATCCTAGATTAATTAGATGGCCCGAAGCCCAGAAGGGTCTGTGTAAGAAGAGGAGACACAGACACACAGGCCAAGGCCAAGTGAAGATGAAGAGTCGCAGCCACGGCCAGGAATGGCTGGAGCCACTTGAGGCTGGGGGATCCAAGCAGGGACTCTTCCCTGGAGCCCTCGGAGGGGGCACATCCTGGAAGACACCTGGCGTTTGGAATAGGGCCACCCAAATCATAAAAAGAAAAAATTTCTATACCTACTGTTAAAGACTCATGTGTTCAGGGGTTGGGCTTTTGGGAAGTGCTTGGATCACAGGGGTGCTGTTTTCATCATGGATTCATCCATTGATGAGTTTAGAGCTGGATGTGCTGATAGGAGGACAGGCCTGGTTGGAGGGGGTGGGTCACTGGGGACCGCCCTTTGAGTGATCTCTCTCTCTCTCTCTCTCTCTCTCTCTTTCTCTTTGTCTCTCACTGGATCTTCCTTTTCTCCCTCTTCTTCCTGCTTGCCATGAGTTAAGTGCTTTCCTCCACTCAGGTCTTCCACCACACCATTCTGCCTTGGAGCCAGCTTACCGAGGACTGAACCCTCTGAAACCATGAGCCAAAATAAAACTCTCCTCCTTAAATTGTGGTGTCAGGTATTTTATCCCAGTGATGGGAAAAGCTAACATAGTGTTGTCCATTCAGAGTATGGACACATGTTATCACGAGCTGTATCCAAGTTACAGCACCACACAGAGCCGTCAGTGCCCTAAAAGCTCCCTGTGCTCAGTCTGTGCATCCCTTCTGCACCCAACTCCTCAAAACCACTGATAGTTTTACTATCATCACAGTTTTGCTTTTATCAGAAAATAACATTTTACATTCTGCAGTGCGCTTGTCCTCCTTCCTGTTAGGAACATAGAGAACAAAACCCACTAATTAACCTCAGTCTTCAATCACCCAATACCATGGCTGGGGAACAACTTTGGACTGTGTGTTAAGCTCGTCAGCTGACTCATGAGGGCTACTTAGCAGGACCCTGCTCTGGGTGCTCCAGCTGTCTTTGGATCACTGGCACTCGGGGGAATCCCTGACCAGCTATAGCCCAGGCCCCGAGGCCAGGGCGGAGCCTCCTCACCTTCAGGCAGACGTTGATGAGTGTGCAGACTTTCCCGTCGCCACTGTAGGTGGGCAAACAGTTGCAGGCAGCCTGTCCGGGAGCAGAGGCAAAGGGGTCAGTTCACAGACAGGGCCTGTGCTGGCCACGACCACTGCCTCCCAGACTCAACCACTATTCCACCAGGATCGACAGTGGTCATCTGATCTTGTGGCACACTGAGCACACTTCACTCCGGTGCTGTGCTGGATGGATCTATATGCATCCTACCTTCACTGCCAAGATAATTTCCTTCTCATTTTCTTACCTTATTTGTCCCTAGCCTCCAGGGAGTCACCTCTTTTCTCTTTTTGATGGCCCAGAGCTCTGGTGACAGGAAGCCAAGCTACATTGCACTCCCACGCATGCTTGTCTCTTGCTCATCCTGCCTGCTGAGCCCAAAGGCACCAGAAATAGGGGTGGGGGGTTAAGCTGAGGGCTTGGTGGCCCATTGAGGGGCGCCCAAGGGGTGATCAGTCAAACCCACTGGAGAGCTGGCCAAAGACATCAACGGGGGGGGGGGTTGAGTTGGGGGAGGGGTGCTGTCTACAGGAGGCTGGGACAGGTCCTGGAGTCGAGTGCATTATGCTCAGGACACTGCAGACACAGGCTGAACCCCGCCTGCCCTACACACGGGCTGGCTTGCAGGGAATGGTTTTCTAACTCACACAAAAGCCTCCTGAGTAGCAGCAGGAGCTCAAGTCTGAGGTCCACTTGTTGGAGCCTGAAGTCCTCCCAGGGGCCAGCCAGGGCTACGTGGGCAGCTTCTCACTGTTCCTCCCCTGCTTCCTTTAAAATGGGCCCTAGACCCAGCCCAAACCTTTACCGAGACGCCTGCCAGCTAGTGGTTCAGCTAAGGTCTTAGTCTGAGTCCAATTCCCCCTTCTCTGCTTTCTAGGCCGGGAGACACTTTTAGAGGCCACAGTACCCCAAAGCTTATAGATTTCTCCCATCCTATGTGTAGTATGAAATAAACACGCTACCAAACCCCAAAATGTGTACAGGAAAGCCCAATGTGGACTGTTCTGATTTTCTATGGCTAGACGCATAAGCACATTTGCACACACACGTAAGACTCTTTCCAGACATTCTTTTTCCTCTGCAGCTCAGGCACTTGGTTGAACTGTGCACCGAGAGTCCTGGCATCAAGATGTTTCAAGGCCTCGCCAGGATCCTCCGGGTGTTCCCTGGGAGCCCCCGCTTCACCTGCTTCCAGGTGTGAACTTCCTGTCTGCCCACCTGTGTGTGCCCCATGGGACTGAGACACAGGGGGCAGAGCATGGGACGCCCGGCCTCTAGTTTGGTACCCTGTCTTGTCACCCTGACCCCCGTCCTCTGCTGCTGGGGTCTCACATCTTCCCACCTTGTTAAACCTGTCTCCAGGGGGCGCTGTGTGGCTCCATGTGTTCAGGGCCCTGGGGAGACAGGGTCTGCTGGGGGGGGGCGTGTTTTCAAGTGTTTCACAGCCCCGAATCCTGAACTATTGTTTCCCTCAGGCCCGTGCCTCACCGGAGGAGGCCGGCTCACCTGGTTGGGTCCTGTGTGTGTGCACTCGGCATTCTGGTGACAGCCACCGTGGTTCTCCAAACACGGGTTGATTTCTGCAAAACAAAAGCCAACACCTGCTGTGAGCATCGAGCCTCCTTTCCAAGAGAGGGCATCGGGAGGACCTGGCTAGGGCGGCTACGTGACCGAGAGCTATGGGTGTCGTGTGATATTCGGTTTGCTGGCAGTTCAGGGCAGAAGTAACCTGAGGGAGGGGACCAGGCACGGTTTTGTCACAGAAATTCTGAACCTCGGGAAAAACTGAAAGTTTTACTCAAAGAAGTGGAGGAAAAACCAAGACTTTAATGACCAGTCGGCCCAGTGAAGTTCATACTTCAGGAAAGCCTGGGCATTGAGTGCTCGAAAAGGGGAGGTTTTATATCACAGTTTTATATCTCTGGGGTGAGCAAAGAGGAATTTTACAGAGGCAGAAGTTTTTTTTAGCAGATAAGCAGGTGTCACAATTGACCTGCGGCTAGGACCTTTCTTTAGGAACAGGTTGTTCACGTAGACATTTAGGGCTAACATGACGGATGCACATTGTGAAGCAAGGCTAACAGGGTGTATGTCACAGGACTTCAGGGCTCACAGAAAGAACATACACTGTGAACAGTAAAGCTAACAGGATGTATATCCGAAAGAGCACAGCAGGATATACATTGTGAACCATAAAGCTAGCAGGATATATATTTTGTGGTGGCTCGCACTGTGATTATATTTAAGTATAAAGTATCAACTACTGGGAGGCGTTGCAGGTCTGCTTGTTTCTGGACAAGTAGGAGCAAATCAGAGCCTGGGTGTTTCAAGGCTTAAGGGTTTAAAAGTTTCTGTATTAGTTTCTCAAAACCACTCCTCTGGGAGGGGCCAATTCCAGCAGAGCTGTGGTCTGCAGGCTTAATCTGTCCCTCCGGGGCGTGGACATAAGTCTGCGTGACCAAAGACTTCGGCTCAGAGTCTCAGCGCTCAGCCCACCACAGCTACGAATGGAACTAAGAAATGAAAACGTAAATCCTGTGCCACATCACAGGCAGACTGGGCCAGGGAAACATTGCCTGGAGATGCCAAACTTGGGGGAGCATTTTGATAAGGAGCAAGAGGATGTTTGATAAGGAGGAGTTTGATTTGATAAAGTGTTTCTCCATCAGCTGCTTGTTAGCAGCAAAGGGCAAAAATAACTCCACAGAGGAGAAATCGGACAGCAGAGCCTTGGCAGGCTTGTCAGAGTCTACACCCCAAGGAGAGGCAGATGGAAGTCTCGCACGTTAGCGTGGTCAGCTGAGAAGGACGCAAGTATTGGGTGACATTTGGGCCGGAAAAACCTCAGAAGATTGAGAGACAAAGCAGGGTGGAGGAACTGTCCTGGATCAAAGGGGACTAAAGAGAGATGACAACTAAATATAGCATCCGAGCCCAGACCGAGCCCTGCCCTGGAGAGAAAAGTGTCCAGAAGGGTATTATAGGTGTAACTGAGACAATCACAATACAAATGGAAATTAGAGCAAAGTATTACAACAATAAGAAATGTACTGCAGTTGCTAACTGTGCTGTGTTAAGTAAGAGGCTGTCCATATTCCCAGGAAACAGCCCTCAGTTATTAGGGATAAAAGGAATACAATAGATTTGTATTTCTCTCAAATGGTTCATACAAAGATGAACACGCGGAGGAAGAAATGATAAAGCAAGTTGAGTAAAACATGACTAAGAGAATGTAGGTAAAGAGAAAGTGGTCTTATAAATTCCTGCAACTGTTCTTCATATTTTTTTTTCTAACTAAAAAGTTAAAATTCAGACAACTTACTATGGCATAACTTTATAGCAGAATATCATGTAGCTGTTAAAATAACAATGTAGCAGTATATTTATTTTTTCAGGGAAAGTGATACTGTCATATTGCTAAGCATAGTAAACACTGTGTATCATGAAACGGTCTTTTTGTTTAAAAAATACCTAAATACATAGCAAAATGGGGTTAAAAAAAACTAGAGTAGTTATCTCTCGAATTTTTTTACCCTGGTGCATACCTCTGCTGTGATTTTTCTGCAACAATAATGTGCTAATTGGACCAAAAAAACCAAACAAACTAGTGAAAGTTTAAAAATGCAGAAATGCAGCTGCCATCATAATTTTTAACCAGAAAAATCTCCCCTTTTCTCCTTCCAGAGTGATTTTTGGGTGTTGCATCCCTTCCACCGCTGTGGTCTCATCATTTCTGTACCCTCATGTGCCGCGACACCCCGAGTGATGACAGCGCCAGCAGCGCAGAGTCCTGCACTAGGAGCCCACAGGCGACCCTCAGGCTCCAACTCTCACGCCCTCCCCCGGGGATGAGGGGTGGCTGGTCCCCTACCAAGGCACACGATGCCGTCGCCAGTGTGGCCCGCCTTGCACACGCACATCCGGCTTCCTGGGGTGGTTCTTTTACAGTCTGCCTTGGATGAGCATCCTCCGTTTCTGGTCTCACAGGGGTTGATGGCTGTGATAGGAGAGAAGACATGGAGCAGAAGAGGAGGTAGAGGATGCGAGAAATCCACTGATGCCCTTTTGAGTCTTGGAGAAACAGATGATGCTTCCCAACCACCCTGGCAGGCATGGGATTAAATATGGCGAATTCCCCAGCACAGAGAGCAAGGAAAACACCCCAGGTATTTGCCCGTCCCAGCGGTTTACACTAGCGCGCTATACACTCCCCTGCAGAAACGTCTGTGGCCAGGCCAGCACACCCGGGGTCCAGGGAGTCCCCAGGGTAAGAGCCACAGTGTCTAGTCTGTACCAAAGCCTGGCAGACATGGTGCTCAGGAGAAAAATGCTGCTAAGTTTCTTTTTTTCTAGCACTGTTTCTGGCGCCATAAGAACAAGCTCACATTTCCCACCATTCCCAGGCATTAATCTGGGTTATTTCCACAAACCCAGCGAGGGGCTGCTCTTGTGACCCTCAACTTGCAGATGAAAACCCGGTGCCGAGAGTATGAGGCACCTTTACTGAGGCCGTGTAAATTACAGGAACTCAGAGTCCAACCCAGGGAGTCTCACGAGCAGGCTGGGGTCTTGAAGCTGCACAAATCCGGCATTGCACATGGCAAGGCCACTGAACCTTCACAGCAAAGGGCAAGGAAGATGGTTTGTCCACTTTATAAATGAGCTAACAGGCTCAGAGCAGTTAGAGATCCGCGGAAGGCCAGCAGGAGGAAGGACCAGGACATGCAGCCCAAGCCCTTAGCCGTCCCTTGGGACAGCTTCCCCCAGGCCATGCCCTTGGCCAGTGAAACCCTGGCTTTTAGAGCTGCCAGGTGATTCAGCTGCGGTCCAGGCTAGGAACCTGCTGGGACTGCAGTGCCACTGTGTGTTGGAAGCTGATGCAATCGCCTGCCCAGCCCCAAATGGACACGGCCGTCCACGAGCACTTATTTCTGGTCCCAGCTGCTCAGCTATGGTTGGGGCCAGGGCTGAGGCCCCTCAGTCTCAGCCACACAGCTATCTCAGCGCCTGCACAAGCCTCGCTGGCCCCAGCACACTCCTCCACTTGCCTTTGCAGATGGTCCCGTTCCCTTGGAATCCAGCTGCACATCTGCACGTGGCTGTGCCATCTGGGCTGACAAGGCAGCTGCCACGAGAGAGAGCAAATGGCATTTGCAGAAGACACCTTGCACCCAACTTGCAGTGCCCCTTCACCCCTGGCATCCCTGGACCTGCCTCTGTTCCTGGCACAACCCTGGCACAACCCTGCCGGGATGACTGAACTGCCGTCCTGCCCCAGGGAGACTGCAGAGTGCATGCAGGTAGGCGTCAGGTCGGAACCAGGAAACAGTGGGCTAGCAGCTGAGCTTTGCGTGTACTTCTGTCACCTGCACAGTGTCCTGTAGCCCAGCAGGTTGGGATTATTATTATTCTTTCCTTCGCAGATGAAGGCACTGAGGTCAGACTCAGTGATGGATTCAAGGTCATGCAATCAGTGAAGGACACAGCGGCTGGCCCTGGACTCAGGTCTGACCCCAGCTACTGGACTCTTCATTGGGGGGTGGAGCTCTCTGGCACTCAGGAGTACAGAGCCAGAAAGGTGTGGCTGTGCTTCGGTGAAGCAGCAAGGTGAAACCAATGCCTCTGGATTTCCTGGGCTCTGTGAGTCCTGAGGCCGGACTGGGAGTGACCGGGGTTGTTTCTGTCAGGGTACCAGGTAAGTCCAGTAGCGCCATCAGGCATACTGATGACAGCCTCCCTAGAGGCGTTTTCAGTTTCATACTTAAACGTACCCCGAACCTCAGAAATGGTGTCAGGGAACCACTTCCCCGAGGCCAGGACGGGGATGGAAACTATGGGACAGAACCCCCTAGCCTTGTCCCCAAAGACGGCCAGAGGGTACCTACTTGGCGCTGGTGTGGCATGTCCCGTTGCAGCTGTCCTCTGTGATGGCTGGAAAAGACAAGCAGACCCCATGTCAGCTCTCAGCAGAGAATCTGCTTTAGTACTTGGAACTAGGAAAAGAACGACTTCCTTGGAAGAGCCGGGGGGTGCCTTGTTAGCCACGTAAATCCACAGCTGTGTAAACCTCCTTTACAGTGGCTGCCAGGGAGCTCAGCACCAACTCTAAAGGTCAGATGTGTTCGTGGAGAGTTTCCTGCATGCCAGGCTCTGTGCTGGGCACTGAGGGTGCAACTTGAGTTTTCCTTTGTCTTATTATGGGGTGATGTCAACAAGCAAACCCTTAATTAAATTATAAGTAATATTAAAAGGATTTTTTAGGGCAATAGCCCAGGGCCTGGAACACAACACGTACACAATATTCACTTGTTGCGTTAATTTCTAAATCTCCTGGAAATTCAGTGTAGGTTATGGCTCTCGGATGCCCAGCTAAGAGATATTTCTCAGCAGGAAAACATTAAATCATTAGAGATGAGGAAAGAGTCCCCTTTGGTAGGATACTCAAGCTCGGAGCTTTTGGGTATCGATCTCAGTAGCCCTGGCCATGTCACAGGGGTCCTAAGGCAGGCACCTGGCCCCAAAGGGATCTGTTTTGTGTTAGATGGGACATGTATAAGTTGAAGTAGGCTGGAGCGGATGAATGCAAGAGAATTTTGTGCTTTTTATTTGTGTGCTTCCTCGATCCTGGAAATCCATTTCTTTCTAATATCTACCTGTTGAAATCCCAGTCATCTTTTAGGTCCTCCTCTCTGAAACCTGCTTTAAATTTTTAAACCAAGTTCAGTCAATTGGTAGTGACTCCGCAGTGTGGTCTTCTGAGAAAGATCTGGTTTCTCTTTCTGTCTGGCCGCAGAGAGAGGGTATGCATTGATCAATTAGTGATGTCTGCCATGGCGCAGGGATGGGGAGTTTGCAGGCAAACAAAGGTATCTTAGTTTTCTAGAGTCTTTGCTTTGCTGTCACATACAACTCTTTTCCTGTCTTTACAGTCATTTCCCTTCTTAAACTGGAAGCTCCGTGGGAAGTATGTGCCCTGGGACAGTGACAGGAGCCCGACAACTGGGCAGGTGCCAGTTGGTGATGAGCCTTTGTGTCCCCTCCCACTGAGGAGTTTGAGCTTGGAATGCATTATATCCTGGGCGCCTCCACCTGTCCATGCTGGGCCTGAATCATGACTGAGAGTCATCCTGGACCCTGCCCGCTTCCCTTCCCTCTGCATCCATTCAGCCACCACCTCACTTATGACCCGGTGTCTCCATTTCCCTGCTTGTCACAGTCATGCTGTTGCCTGAGTTCACACTTCTATCGGTCACCTCTTGCATGCTCACCACAGCTTCTGGCCCTGCCCCTTGAAACAGGCTGGCTCTCTATGCACAATGCTTACAAGCTCAGAAGGGGACTCTAGCGTCTGTCCCAGGGAGTCACGCAGGGCTGTGTGACCCATCACCCGCCACCCCATCCCTCCACATCCGGGCTCTGAGCCCAACACCTGACACCTACACTGGATCCTTCAGCCTTCCCACCTCAGCTTGTCAACCAACTCTTTGCTCTGCTTTCCCTGGACTTTGCCCTTGCCTGGAGCTTTGGACCGCGATACCCCTGAAGCTACACTCCTGGAGTACTCCCTGGCTGGTGGGCTCCACTCTGGGTCCCTGCCCCACAAGAGGGGACATCTCTGGTGCCCAGCTCCGTGGCATTCTCCCCAGTGCAGTGTCTGACGATTCCTCCTGCCTGCCAATAAGGTCATATTGCTCTCCTGTTCCACACCCTCCAGGGGCTCCCAGGGGCTCCAGGCGAGGCCCAGCCTCCACTGCTGCATGGACCTGCCCCTGCCTGCCGCTCTGCTCTGCTCCTCTCTCTGGTTTCTCATCTGCCCCTGCACCCCTCTCGCCCTGCAAGCTCTGGCTCCCGGCACCTCTGTGCTCTCCACATGCTGGAAATGCTCCTTTCTCTCCTCTCCTGCACTTGACAAGTAGAGAGGGAGACTTGTCAAGACTTGACTTAGGACCCAAATGCCGGTTGTTTGTCCTTCCAGATGGTCTCAGACACAGGTTTAACCCTTACAGAGCTCTGGAAGGAACACGACAGCATCCTCTCCTGTGTGGGGTTCACTGGGAAATCCTGGACCAGTGTCTCTCTAAGGACACTGAGATCTGCCTGTGCACAGGAGAGAGGGTTTGAAGGCCCTGTAGAGGAGCCTGAGCCTTCACTGACCAACCTGAGTTATAACCAGCCCTCGGGAACAAATTGAGTTCATAAGTCAAAGTCTACTGTAATAACTGTGGAAAGATGCTATAGAATATGGTCACTGTGGCATTGTTTCTGATAGGAAATTGGTTTAAAAAGCTGCAGTTGGCTGGGGGTGTAGCTCTGTGGTAGTGCAGTTGCCCAGCATGGGCTTTGCAAAGCCCTGGGTTTTATCCTTAGCACTACAAAAAACCTATTAAAATAAATGACATCTGTATCTTCGCAAGGGAAAATGTCCCTTCTCTCCCGTGAAGCGTAAGAGCAGGTCATGAAACACTGCACACACAGAGAGAGGCCGGAAGCTAATACAAAATTTCATTAGTATTTTTTTCCTGTCTAGGCAGCATGAGAAATTTTTATTTTCTTCCTTTTGCTTTTTTTTTTTTGTTTTACAAACTACTGGCTGCAAGAAGGAATTATGTTTATTGTCAGAAAAAGCAACACAGACGTCGTTTCTCTTTTAGAAAGAAAACAACGTGGGTGGCTGCAGAGAGGCAGAGGAGCAGGCACGCAGCCTCGCGCTTACCGCTGTCGCATCGCACTCCCCGCCAGCCCACGGCACAGTCGCAGGAGCCGTCGCCCGAGGGTCCCTGGCTGCATCTCCCGTGGACGCAGGAACACGCTGCGTGGAAAGACGCCCGCGCACCATCAGAGCCTGGCAGAGCCGAACACCTGGCGCGTCACGGGCTGGGTGCAATTCTTTGCACTCTGCTCCCCAGCCTGGTTGTGGGGGGCACAGTCCCTCATGGGGGGTCGGAGTCACAGGCGGGGCCTGACAAAGGCCAGGGCTGCGGGGGGGGGCAGGGGCCCTGGGTGTGCTTCACCTGAGCCCCCCACAGCACGGTTCTGGAACTGGGCGGCTCTGTGGGATTTAGCTGAGGATCCAGGGCTATGACATGAGCCTGGTGTCGACCACCTTCTCCAACAACCGGGCACTGTTGACTCCCTTGTTCCACAGAGGGCTCATGGACCTCTTTGAGAACTGGGCCAAAGCTATGGAAGCTTTCTTCTCCCAAAACACATTCAACTTTGGGGGTTTGAGGCTCACTCATGGATTTCAGGTTAGAAACTCTTGCACACATGCAAGCATATAATTCTTCCAAACACACGGGGGAAAAAACCCAACGCTCATTTCAGTGGTGTTATGTGGCCCCATTTTAATAATCGAACTACACATTACTTTCGCCTGAGTTAGACCAGCTGATGAGAAAATGGTGATTGTTAAATTCATGGGCTTTGGGACCAGGAAGAACAACGATTTGCTTCGAATTGTGGAACAGGAAGCTTCTCCTGCCCCTTACAGATGTGTTCCCCGGGGCCCAAGGAAGTCAGGTGCAAAAAATGTAGGAGACTGGGCTCAACACTATTTTTGCCAGAACAGAGCAGATGGCTTGCTGATGGCAAATCAATGGAGTGGAGCGGTCTGTTCACTCATTAGTGACCGAGGACAGCCTTATTCAAGAGATAATCAAACATCTTGGTTATTAAAATCTTAGTTCTGCTTCTCATCAGTGATTTTTCTTTTTTCAGTCCTGGGATTGAACACAGGGCCTTCTCGCTGAGCTACAACCCAGCCTATTTTATTTTAAAATTTTGAGACACGGTCTAAGTTGTTAAATTGCCCAGCTTGGGCTTGAATTTGCAGTCCTCCTGCTTCCATCTCCCAGTCTTTTCTGCCTTAACATCTTCATCTGTAAAACGGCCACGGCAATATCTTAAGTATGTAAGGTTCCTTTCCGATGGAATGAAATGCTAGGACAAATCTGTTTTCAGACTGCGGAAAAACGTATGCACAGAAAGGAGCCCTGCAGATTATTGTACACAGGCAATCAGAGAACCGCGCTTGGGTCGGGTTCTCAGTGAACAGACGGGGTGGGTGGGAAGGTCCAGGTCAGCGACTGAAAACGGTGAGAAACACAGCCCTGTGGAAATAACACAGAGGCTCTTAGAATTCACAACAGGGCTAGGTGCAGTGGCCCCACCTGTACTCCCAGCACTCTGGGAGGCTGAGGCAGGGGGATTTCAAGTTAGAACTCATCCTAGGCAATTCAGCAATTTAGGGAGAGCCGGTCTCAAAATTAGAAGTAAAGACGGACTGGGGAACGTAGCTCAGTCGCAGCACCCACAGTACCGGTGGCTGCAGCCGGGGAGGAGAGACCTGCAGGGACAGGGACGCATGCGCACCTTGGTCGCAGTGCACCCCGTACTTGGCGTCCACGCAGGTCTCGCAGGCCGTGCCGTGGAAGCCGGGGCCGCACTCGCACGCGCCCGTGCCGTTGACGCCGTCCATGCAGACGCCGTTCCCGAAGCAGGCGCTCCCGCGCTGGCCGGGGCAGGCCTGGCACTCTGGCCCGAAGAAGCCGGCGCAGCATTCGCGGGTCTGCAAGGGAGGCGCAGGCTGCAGCGCGCCCTCTCCCGGGCACTGGGGGCTCGGCTGCCTGTGTCGCCCCGGGCTGCGGGAGGGAGGCTTGGGGCCCTGAGATAGGACTGAGGCCCACACTGAGAGGGCAGGGAAGGGAACAGGCCGGGGAGGGGACGGAGGAAAAGGAAGGGGCAGCAGGGACAACTGTAGCGTGAAAGCAGGAGCTGGGAGGCGCGGGCTCCAGCACCCCAGGCCTGGCTCTGTCATCCCCAGGCCTGGCTCTGTCACCCCCAGACCTGAGCTCTGTCACCCCCAGGCCTGGCTCTGTCACCCCCAGGCCTGGGCCCCTGCGCTTTGAACACTGTCCACCTGCTACCGAAGGGGCCTCTGAGGCTGGGGCCTGCTGGACATTTTATGAGACCCACAGGTTCAGAAAGCCCTGGAGGGCGTCCACTTGCTTCCTCTGCCTTTGATCTCCGCTGCATTCAGACAAAATCTGCCCCTGCCCCTTGCTCTGCAGTGTAAGGGCCAAACCTCCTGCCTCTGCCTCTGCTGAACAGGACCAGATGTGTCTGATCCCCTGGGAAAGTAGCAGGATGGCAAGTCAGAGAGAATTCTCCTGCAAACTCCAGTGGCCCGCAGAACTCCTTAGCTCCGGGTCCCGTTTTCTAAACGACTGGGCGCGCCTCGACTTCTCAGTGGGTGCCCCTTCCTCTGTCGCCTCTGCCCCCTCTGTGTGCCCATGTGGGACCAGGGTGTCCTCCTGCCCTCTCGGATGCTTAGTGTCTTCATCAGCAACCCAACACTGCAGCTTTCACTGGTGTTCTGATTCGGGGGCTGTTCCTGACTTTCACCACCACCACTACTGCTCTGGATGCCAGTGAGAGCCGGGATGGCCCGAGGAGAAACAGGCGATGCACTTTGAGAAGCCAGCCTGCGGTTGGTTGGGTTCAGTGTCACTGATCAGAAGTGTCACAATGTCATTGTACTCACGAGGACAGTCCTCACACACGTCTGCCGGCACCCGATGAACACAGAGCGCTTCCCCATGAAGTAAAGACTGTAGATGCACTTGGTCTTCTCATTGCCCTGTGGAACAGTGATAATTCTGTTGGTTTTGAATCAGGAAAAAGATTTCCTAAGGTAAATGAATGACATATCACTGTCAGATGTCCTGGAAAGGAAGGATCGTAGCTTCTTTGCATTGCTTCAGAAGCAGAAAAACCCCAAACCCAGTGTTGGCAGAAATGGCAAACACAAGATTGCCAGATAGAAAAATACAGTTATACCACACAGTAGGACTCTGTAAGAAGAATCCTTTCACAGAACTTGAGTTTGGAAGAATTGTGGAATAAATCAGGTGGTACAGCCCCGTGCATTTATTGATCTAAACCTGGGTGTCTATTTGTTTATTGATTTGTAATCTGCTCTGGAGGGACAAAGGATTAAGTTTGCTTATGAATATTTAAAATATAGGAGATGAAATTAAAGCTCAAGTGAGAGAATCAGCATTCATTATTGTTACTGGGAATTATTATAGTGCTATGGAAGGCACACAAGTGTTTTTTCTTTGCAGTGCTTGTTATCAGAAGTAGCTCTTGCAAAAAAAAAAAAAGCTGCAAGAAACACAGATGGGTGATTCACTCAAAGCCACATCTGCCTCTCCTTTGTCTGGTGTGTTTCTTTGAGAAAGTTGTAGCTTCCACTATAAAAGGGAATCCAGCAGGGGGAATGTGTCAGGCCCAGTATGGTTTTGGATATGCTGCCTGTTTTCTCCGATGTTACCACATTTCTTGCTGCTTTCCTCTGCTGGCTACTATAAGAGAAACGGAAGGAGAAAAACCCCTTCCTGCATTGTGTGTTGATTTATGAACACATTTCTATGTAGTTATTAATTAAATGTGTCCTTAGCACCTCCAAAATAAATTTAGAACTTTACAAAGATGTATATAATATAATGAGCTAGAATTACAAAGAATTTACCATGAGGTACACAATATAATAAGGTTCAGTTAAATTAAAACCCAGGGAAGGAATGGGAGCTCTACACATGAGGTTTGCCTGGACTCCCTTGGATCTGGAAACCGGTTTCTCAAAGCACACAGAATACTTACTAGTGGTTTGGTTCCAGGTGGGCAGATGGGGCGCTGGAGACACTTTCCACACTTTCCCTTGGCAAAACACAGAGGCAAAGGAGACATTTCAAGATTATTAGTTTGAGTGCAAAATGAGCCTGCAAATATTTTCTAGAGCTTAGAGGCTTTGGAATGCAGAGCTGAAAGTCAAGGGAGAATATCTGGTCATCCTCATCAATGTTCTTTCAGGCAGACACTTAAATGACCTCAGGGTGTGCATGTTTGAGCATTGCTTTTCCCCCACAATCTTCTCACTGTGGTAACCCTTCAAAGTGGGAGGTCTCAACTCATCTAAATCGGAATTCTTTTAACAGCAACCCTCATTTGTTGGGAACCACATTTAGTCAACTGGGCCAGACTCAGAGACTAACAATGGCTACCCACAGTGCCCTGAGTGAGAAGCATACAGTCCAGATGGGGGCTGCAGAGTCAAAATGTTTCTAGAAACAATACACATAGAAAGAGCAAACGTTACACACAACCGAAACTCTGATGTGCTACTTGTTCTTAACATAAGAGCAGGCCAATGTCCCAAGTTCTTAACTTGGCACCTATGGGTCAGTACCACGTGGCTCCAGAGTTCTGGCTCCAGGCCAGGCTGGCTGGACTTGAACCCCTTCTCTGCCTGTTGCAAACCTGTGAATGTGGGTGCATCACTTAACCGCTCATGGCTCATTTTCCCCTTTGTAAAGTGAGGATAGTCGCAGTAGTTCTGGTGAGGGTGTTGTGAGCAGTCCATGGTTAGTGAACGTAACTGTTCAGAGTTACACGGTGAGGGCCTAAGAAACTCCAGCATCTATCGCTATTACTAAGGGTCCGACACTCCCCCACTGTCTAGAGTGATCCTGCATCTGTGTTTCTCTTCTACTAGACCAGGCTTGGCCAAAGCTGCCACAGGTGCCCCAGGGCCCCTTCCCTGTGCCTGTACAAGACGAGGCCAGTTTCCCTTTGGAGATAGTCATGGTTTTCCTGCTCGACACAGCCCTCCTGGTGGGCAACGGTGTCCAGTCAATCTATTGCACAAGGTCACAAGTTCATTGAGTGCCCAGCCACGTCTTATTTGTCTCTGTAGAACCCCAGCCCAGTACGCTCGACACATCAGAAATGCTCACTGCGTACTTTGGGGACTGAACTGAGGTGCCCTAGCAGAAAATTCTTAACCCTAAACAATAATAAAATGAAGTCACCCCTCATTTGCTGCAGCATTGTGCCCAGAGAGAACTTACTCGTACAACGGTGGTCTCATTGTTATCACATCTATTCTTCTGAATTCCCAGAACTTTCCCCAGGCCGTGGATCACTCCCTTGTCAGTCGCCACATTGGTGTAGTTTATTGGAGCCTCGTTTACATAGAGCTGTGAACAGGAGGGTTAAACAGGACTTTATGGCAGTGATTTTTTTTTTTTTTTGGTACTGGGGATTGAACTTGGGACCTTTTGCTTGTGAGGCAGGTGGCGGGAACCACTGAGCTAAATCCCCAGCCCATGGTGGTGATTTTTAAGCAGGTGGGAAGGCAGGCAGTGGAGACCATGAACACGACAAAGGCCTGGAGATGCTCTGGCATCTGCCTGCAGGCAGCACCCTGTAGCGGACAGAGCTCCAACTCGAGCCAGGTGTCACCATCGTGCCTTAGACCTGTTGAGCTGTGGGAACCTGGGCCAGTTGCTCTGCTTTCTCTTTCGTAAGAGGAAAAGGTTGTTCTAGATAATCTGTAGGTTATCATCTCCCCATTTCTCAAAATTAATTTTTAGAGGCTGAGCAGAGCGGGGCCGGGCTGGCTGCTGGTGGGAGACAGCAGCTGAGGAAGATGAAGATCCAGTTTTGAACATGAGACTCATTGGGTGATCACTTCATTGAGATGACTTGATTGACCAGGTGTAAAGTGCAAGAGGACTGTACAATGACTGAGGCAACTCAATTTATCTTATTGCCAACCTCTACCTCTTTTGATTCTGCAAGAGAAACAGTGCCTCCAGCAATCTAGTCAATTGACTCCAGGAATCCAGTCAATTGTCAAACAGACTCATGATTGAAAAAGAGCAGGACGAAGCAGAATGGGAAATCACACATGTGCTGTTAATGAGGCATGGCTTAAAACCTTTGTGCCTTGTCAGAAGAGCAGATCTTTAAGTCATCACAAAGGATGAGGCAGAATTTGAAAATGTTCGTGGAAGAAACAGAATGTCAACAGAATGTGATACAAGAGCTCATAGAAACTAACCAGCAGTTTAAAAATGAGCTTCAGCTAGAACAAAGCCGAACAGCACATCAGGAACAACGAGCTGATGACTTGGAACTAATTATGAAGAGTGTGAAATGCAAAACTGGTGAATTAGAAGATGAATCTCTAAATAGGGTTTGCCAGCAACAAAATAAAATGAAAGATCTTCAGAAGGAGAATAGAACTTTAGGAAGTGCCAGCATTACAAGAAAAAATAAATGGAGCAGCAACAGACTATTGCTTCTTTGGAAAAGGATATCTGTCAATTAACAAAAGAGGAAGAAGAACGAATTATCACTCAAAACAGAGTGTTTGCCTATCTCTGCAAAAGAGTTCCTCATACTGTCTTGGATAGACACTTGCTTTGCCTAATTGACTACTATGAATCTAAAATTAGAAAAATCCACACACAAAGGCAATATAAAAAAGATGAAAGTCAATCAGAAGAAGAAAAAGATTATAGAAATCTGAATGGCTCACCAACTTATAAAGGCCTTCTACTGTCATTACAGAATCAACTCAAGGAATCAAACTCCAAGACTGATGCACTTTTAAGTGAAAAGCTGAACCTCCAAAAAGATTTAGAAAGCAGGCCCACACAACATGAATTCAGACTTTATAAAAAACAAGTGAAGAAACTGGAGAAAGCCCTCAAGAAAAACATTAAATTACAGGAGCTTATCAGTCATACAAAAACCGAGGACACAGAGAAAAAAGATGAATCCAGTGAAGAAAGCCATCAACAAGCTCTAGTTGACCAGAGCTACTTTCAGGTGCTCTGTAGCATCAATTCAATTATTCACAATCCAAGGGCTCCAGTAATAATTTATAAACACACCAAAGAAGGAACTCAACATTTTAACAAAGATTTTGTTCAAGACTGTGGATTTGAACATCTTGTTCCTATGATAGAAATGTGGGCAGGTGAACTGACATCCCTGAAGGATTTGTAGAAGCCCTTGAAAATACTATCTGCAGACCTGGTGCCTTGGCATAATTTTAAGAAACAGGATGAAAATGAAGGTGTCAGAGTTGAAAATTGGTTGTTTGTGGTAGATACCATGTTGGAAGAAGTTGAAAATAAGGAAAAGGACAGCAACATGCCAGACTTTCAAACTTTGCAAGCTGTTGTCTCTCACTTCCAAAAATTATTTGGGGTGCCTTCTCTAAATGGAGTCTATCTCCAAATGAATGAAGTTTATACTAGGCTTGGAGAAGTGAACGTTGCTGTGAGAAACCTCCAAGAACTCTTAGAATTAGGTAGTTCATCTTCATTGTGTGTGCTGGTAAGCACAGTTGGAAAATTGTGTAGGCTGATGAATGAGGATGTGAATGAGGAGGTTAAGCAAGTATTAGGACCTGCAGACCTCCAAAGGTATTTGTTTGAAAAATAATCACTCAGAATGCTTGAAATGGCAAAATTAAAGATATTCAAACCTTAAAAAAATTAATTTTTAGAAATACTTTAATCCTACGTTAGTGTCCACCGGTGAGACAGCTTCAAGGAGTTTCTCAGTCATGCTGTGGCCAGGGGCTTCCACAACCGACACGCAGAAAATACAGCCCATCTCTCCAGCTGCCTCTGCTGCACGGTGAATGGCGGGCAACTCTGAGAAGGGCTGGATTTAAAAAGTGGTATATCCTGGTCCTTCTTCATCCGGAGGGTCCGTACATGTCCCAGACCCAGGGACTAAGCCAGTGTCTAACTGCCTCCCCGCCAAATTCCATTTTAAATTGTAACTTCTTGCAAGAAAGGATATTTAAATGATTGACTCATGAAAAATAAATGAAGCCACTAATTCACTAGCAAATAAGCCATTAATCCATTAATACGATTAGTATAAACAAAAACCAATGGTTCTTTAAAAATAGGATGGCTTGTGCATGTGTACATATAGAAGATACAGTAGGGCTGAGGTTTGGAATGGGAGAAAATGTTTTATTATACTAAGTAGGTATCAAGTTAGTATCCAGGAAGGGTTTAAAATTTATAAAATAATACATAAAATAACATCCTCAACATTGCCAACTGAGCAATATTAAATGATCCTATTAACAGAAGGATCACAAGTTCAAACTCAGCCTGGGAGTTTAGCAACTTAATGAGACCTTGTCTCAAAATTAATGCTAATAATAATAATAATAAAGAGGGTTGGGGTGTAGGTCAGTGTGAAGGCCAAGTTCAATTGCCACTACCACCAAAAAAACAAAAACAAAATAAAATGGTCCATAACTGCCTAAATTTGATTTTTCCCTGAATGCACAAGTCTCTTGCGATTTCTTTGCAGTGAAATGAATTCTATTTAGATGTTGAGATGAATCACGGCTGAATTCCACAGAGTTGCTCCAAGGTTCTGAGTTTGCTTGGAAAACTACCAGGAAACCTTATTTGTCTCAAATGATGATTACAGTATAAATTTCCAGACTTCAAGATGCTGAGCTATTTTTAAATATGCACATAGCAGAGCATTTGATGTCATCGTGCTTTTTAACTGGGCATTAAACAGTCTGAATCACTCCTATCATGAGATACATTCAGAGAATTATGGGTTGTATTAAAAGTTTATTTTAAACACACCTACTCCTTTGGAAAGCATTTTCCTACACTTCCAGTGCCACAGAGAAATAGATGAGTATCAGTTAAAGCAAAGCCCCTGTTGTGTGAATAATTCCTTCTCCAGATAAAAAAACTGCTGGGCAAATGGAAAATGAATTACATCATTCAATTACAACACTGAACTCGATTCAGCTAATCATGCAGGACTAGCCATCTCTACATGATGAAATTGAAGAGGACAAATAAAACCAAAACCAGAGATGAAAACTCAATTTTATCAATAATATCATTGCCAATGCAAGAAAGATTAGAAAATATATGAAAGGGCCTCCTCAAATTTCAGTACAGTAGGTGGAATTGTTTGTAAGAGTCAGAAAAATACTTGAAGTTAGATTATTCTCCAGGAAAATAAAGAGTAGAAAATTCTTTTTGAACTCAAGAAGAAAAAAAAAATGTACTTGTGATTCAGTGCTGACACCACTGAAGAAGTTGCTTTTTAAGATACTTTAAAAAAGGCTTAAGTAACACTATTGCTTCAAAGAGCCTACAGTTAAACTTTTATTTCTGTATAATCCTTAATGGGTCTTAAATAACAATGTTTTTATTTATTTTTCTTCTGAGGATTTATTTTACAATTTCACTGAGTTTCTTATTAAAATTTTGTAGGTCGATCTTTTCCCTTGGCATGTGAAGTACACAAATAAGATTTTATGTATGAAATATGTTAAATAGTTAAGCTGGGTGTGGTTGCTCATGCCTGTAATCCCAGCACTTAAGAGGCTGAGGCAGGAAGATTGCCATGAGTTCAAGGCTAACCTGGGCTACATAGAGAGTTCAAGGCCAGCCTGGAGAACACATAGTGAGACCCTGTCTCAAACAAAACAAAACAGAACAAAACAGAACAACCAAACAAAAAAGGAGATACGCTAAACATTTAGTCTCGCTAATTCTTTTCTATGAGTTCCAGTCATTTAAATACTGAGGTACTGTGTGAGGTAAGCACTGGAACGTCAGCACAGTGGCTGGTCACTGCACAGTGACAGTCACAGTCTCATTTGGTGGCTGAGTCCTGTGTGTCACTGGGCTCCTTTTGTCCTGGAACCAACGCCACCTCCTGGGGGGCCGGCACTTCCCAGGCTCCCTTGCATCTTGGAGACCAGTGAGGGGGGCACTGTCCACTGGGTCTGCTGCACCAGTGTGGAAGTGCGCTCGACTGTTGGGATCGGAGTCCCACAATTTGTGGGCCACCCTGGCTGTCTGAAGCCTGAGCTCAGGGTAGTGGAAGTGAGTGGAAGCCGACTCTCTGGTTTCGATGTGATCGACTTTCTGGCCAAGCACAAGCCCTTTGGGTTGATAAGGGTTAGGGAGCTGGGGGGAGACTGTTCCAATATGGAAGAGGTGAACCCCATCAAGAGCCTGGATTATAAATAAATAAAAGGGTCGCACCTGCTGATCTCGGAGAAAGAAGCCGAGGTGGTAGGAGGGCCCCAGGATGCTCTCCCGGTGCATGCCGTTGTGCAGGTCGCTCTTCAGGAGCTTCTCCTTCAGGACCACGTGATAGCGGAGTGTGTCCTCCCCCTGCACCACACATGGGGACAGTCGGTCGACACACCAGCAAGGTGGGGCTTCCTGGCTGACCCACTCTGCTGGCACTGCAAAGGGCAGCAATGCCGGGTCCAACTGCAAGTCGGCCAGGCATCAAGATGCAGCATGTACACAATGAAGTGAGCCACGAAACTTGGAGAAGTTGCAAAATTTCCAAGTAAGGTGGCCAGGAGCTTGACAGGTGACTCTAAAACCCATACAGAAGGTAGGAAAGTTGGGGGTGGATTTTGAAGATGACTTGTTTGGGCAGAGCAGCTGGAGAGAGAGAGAGACAGAGAGAGAACCCCACACCCAGCCTTCTCCTCAGGGATGGGAGGGACCCTGCAGGGAGCTCAAGCCTGCAGATGGGGTGGTCTGTTGGAATGGGGTTTGACTCAGGCCCAGCGATCGATCGTAAGCTAAGGACTGCTGCTGAGGTGCTCAGCACTGGTTCAGGAGAGCTGTCACTGCACCGAGACAGACTACACACAGAGCTGGCTTGGGACAACAGAGCAGGTGTCTCCTGCGGCCCTGATGTGGCTCCCAGGCTGCAAGAGCTGGTGCCTTGGGACTTATCCAAGATGGCACCTGGGAGGACAGATGGGCCTCCCCACGGGAAAGCTGGAGTGGGCTCTGGATTCTCAAGGTCTTTCTTACCCTCTTCCTTCCCTCTTCATGTCTTTTCCCAGCCCCAACACTTCCTACCCCTCCACTGCAGACCTAATGAAACCCAAACTGGATTTAATGAGAGCAGGAAGCAGAATAGAGCATAATACGGAACAGGGGGAAGAACACAGAGCCATTGACTCCTAGCTGCAAAGCTGCCCTCCCACTCCGATCTGTGGGGCCCGAGCTGAGTCTTCACCTCCTTCTCCTTGGCTAGTGGCTCAGTGTCAGCCTCTGCCCATTGGGCAGGGAGGTGGAGTGTTGCTCTTCCCTTTCCTGCAGTGGCAGCTCAGCCTGGGTGGCAGCTCCCTAGAACCTGACAATCCAGCTCTATCACGTCCTCCTCACCTCTGAGACACCAGCCAGGCAATGCCGTCTGAGCCCCCAGGGACCTCTGGGCCCACAGGGAGCCTTCTCCATGCCCAGAGGTGTGAGCACCAGCTGGCCAGTCCTTCTGAGAGCCACTGGGCCCCACCTCTAAGTTTCTAAGTTTTACCAGTTTTATCCTCTTCCCTTCGTTCTCTAGCATTAGGGATATCATGTGCTTAAAGCAGGAGCTACCCCTGTGATCTCCCTCCCTCCCTCTTTCTTTTTTACTTTTCAGGTGTATTAATGTGGCTTTAAACTCACTAAACCATTCCTACTATTAAATCCTCCTTTTGAGAAAATATTGGTGTGTTTGTATCTCCCGGTGGACCCTGGCTGAGGACTCAGCCCTCTTCTCCAGGTTCTTGCTTGCTCTTACTGCACTGAGCAAAGAGGGAAGATGGTTCTAAATCCCATTCAAAATGTTGATTGTTACAGGAGCTGTGTAGTTCACTTTCTGTTTCTATAACAAAATACTGGCAGCTGAGTACTTAATAAAGAAAAGGGAATTGTTTATCTCACAGCCTTGGAGGCTGAAAGTCCAAGATTAGGTGGCTCCACTTATTTGCCATCTGGCGAGGGCCTCAGGGCTGGTGACATTGCCAAGGCAGGAACTCGTGCAGTATTTACACACAATGGAGTACTACTCTGCTATCAAGAAGGATAAATTGGAGTTCAAGGGCAGCCTTAACTATGTAGTGAGACCCTGCCTCAAAGAAAAAACTGAGTCATTTGGAGGAAAATGGATTCACTTTGAGACCATAAGTTTAAGTGAAATAAATCAGACACTTAGATGAGTGTCTTCTGAGAACTCAAGTCTTTCATATGAGAACCCAAAGTATAAATAATTTAAAGAGCAAAAACCAAAATCAAACCAAAGAAACCCCCAGAAAAGACAGATAATAGGAAACAGGGAGATGGATCTTTTGCAAATGGGAAGTGGACCAAGAGGTGGAGAGAGAGGAAGGGCAGGGGATGAAGAGAAGAACGAAGCGGTGTTCTGTACATGCGCCAGTTCCCCAGGATGGAGGTGATCTTCGTGTACTGCAAACACGGACTGATAAAATAAAAATTAAAGCAAAGGTGATCACACAGAGAGATAGAAGCCAGAGAGCAGAGAGGGGCTGGTCTTGAGAAAAACTCACAAACTCCAGGAGGCCACGGCCAAGGCTGCTGAGGGCAGAGCCCCCAGTGACCTCATCACCTCCCACTAGGCCCCACCTCTTAAAGGCTCCTAGCTCTCAACGTCGCTAGAGGAGCAAGTCTCCAACCAACATATACAACAGTGGGGACCTCAGCGCTTATTCAGATCACAGTAGGGGATATCATCACCACCACCATCATGATCATCACCATCATCATCATCTTTTAACTTAACCGAGGTTGTGTTTGTAGCTTAAAGTGACTTCAGAACTTCTGCGGGAGGTAGAAGGACTATGAGGCTGCCTGAAGTTTCATTCTAAAGCAGGAAAAAAGGAGTATTCACCAGGAACAAGTTTAAAAAGGGAAGGGGTGGGAATGGGAAAGATGGTTCCTGACTCCATCCTGGGAGTCTTGCCTGTCCGTTGTCCCTGTTACAGGAGCTCGACATGGTCCCTGCCTTCTTGGTGGGTAGCTCAGACCGAGCCCCAGAAAGGATAGTTCCTCATGCCCAGGACAGATGGTGAGTGCCAAAGCGGGGTGTGGCAGGAGAGGCTGTCTGCAGTTCCCTGGGGAGGAGGTGGGACTGTACAAGGGGCCAGTGAGGGAGGTGGAGGAGGTGGGAAAAGGAAGCGCAGCCTTCCTGATGGGGACAGTGTGCATGTGTGTGTGTGTGCGCGAGGGTGCGCGCGCACGCTTGCTTATAGGACCAATGGCCCCAAGCATCTTTGGCATGCTCAGGGTCTATTCCTTGAGGCCACACTCTGGTTAGACCACTGAGTTTCCCCAGGCCTGGGTTGGGGACAGCAGGGGGCCTAAGGGTGGCCCAGCTGGATTCTAAGCCCTCGCCCCAGCTTTTTAGTATCTCCAGCTCTGCCACCCTGGGAAGACATAGATGAAAACTGTGTTTGGTTGTGCAAACTGACTTCACACATGTCCTCGTGTGCAGGGCTGAGGCTGGGGCATCCCAGGCCTCCTCCAGTGTGAAAATTCTAGAGCTGCCTCTGGGTAGAAAATAGTGTGGCCAGGGATCGGGGTCCCTCAGCCCTGGGGGGAGGGCTGTCTACACTTAGTCTTGCAAGAGACAGGACCCCCCTCAGGTTTGCAGCCAGATCACGATTGAAGCCTCTTCATTAATTCACAGAATCCCTCTACAAACATTGACTGTTTACCCCGGATATAGAAATTGGGAAAATGGACAACAGGGGCAGGGGAGGAAGGATCCATGCCTCTAGGTCCCGTGCTGGCATCTTGGCTGCTTAGGATCAGGGAGAGGCCAGCAGGAGGGGGACAGAGGACCCCAAGGATCCCTCCCGGTCCCTGGGGTGCCTGCTTGCCTGGCCTCTGATGGATTGAGTGCTTAAATGTCCAGGAAATAGCTTTCCTAGCTCCTGTTACTGACACCTACTAGAGTGGCAACCTTCTTCTCCTTGATGTAATTCTCGATGGCGGCGTTGTTCGGGGCAAACACGGTGTAAGAGTCAGCAGCCTCAATGGCACTTGCCAGATTATAATGCTGCAGAGGAAAGAGACATGGGCACCTGAGGATTCCTGCCCCCAGGTGACCTGAGCCAGGGGCCTGCAGGGAACAAGGTACTTGCAATGATGTAGCCCCGGAAGATGGAGTAGTCAGGCATCTGATTCAGCCGGGTGAGCAGGTTTGGTAAGGAGCCACTTAGACCTCTTTGGGGGACCAGCACCTGGGAAAGGAAGCCCCCACATTCTACTTAGTGTGTTTTTGTAGCATTTGCTCCTCGCTGATACATACAAAGTCTTGTTAACTTCTTTAGACAGTTAAGGGAATTGACATTGGAAATGTTTTGATGACTCACAGAATAAAATTATTTTAACATGCGGAGTGACAAGGGTAGAAGGCACTTGGAGATGTTCAGCTTTGTGTCTCATCCTCAAATGAATTCCCCTGAATTAGAGATTCATTCTGCACAAGACTCTGTAGTGGCCCCTGAGCAACCCGTTTTACCTCTCGTTAATTCACCAGTCAAAGAGGACCCCTAAATGTAACTGCAAAGCAACAGGCTGCAGCTAAAATCTATTTTCTGTTATTCTTTTGTTTATTCTTCAGGTTCTTCATTTCTTTTCCCAGCAGTCCTAAGGTTGCTGCAATCCAGTGGCCCGAATCTGCCTTGTAAATGTGTTTTGCTTGGCTCATGCAATGTAATAAAAGCAGAGCACTCTTACCACTCCTGACTCCTTGGTAAAAACATCAGTCTTTGTCCCCAGAGACAAGAGCCAGTTGAAGAGAGTAGCAGTCACTGCCTTTGTCATGGGGTCAGCCTTTTGGCCAAGGTAACCATTTCCATCTCCTCATTCTATCTAGAACCTTCTCATTCTATCTAGTGCCTTCTCAGATAGAAGAACCCTACACAGGACTGTTTTCCCAATTCAGTCTCCAACCAACATTCACTGGGTGTAGGGACCCAGGAATCAGTACACAAATGTGACTGAAGCCCAAGTCCTGCCCTCAGGGAGCTCAGAGCATATACAGCACATGGCCCAATCTAGTCTGCTGCTATATTTGAAAATAGAGTTTCCCTGGAACACAGCCACGCACATTTGTTTACAGGTTGTGTAAGGCTGATTTTGCACTTCAGTGGTGGAGCTGAATGTCTGTGACTGAGACCATAGATGAGCAAAGCCTAGTATTTGCTACCTGGTTCTTTTCAGAAAAACTGAGCTAGTCCTTGAGTTAGAGGAAGATAGATACATCTGTGAGTGTCAGGAGCTGAAGGGAGAGGAAAGTCTTGGGATAATTAGATGGGAAAGGACAGAAAACTATGAGGAGGTGGCTCAAGGGACTTGGTGGTCCTATTTCAGGTCATGTAACCATTTGCACCGAGAAGGCCATTGCAAATCCTTGGGGTTCATCCAGGATTTGAACCCCAAATGGGTACAGAGCATGGGAAGTGGTATGGGCTGGAACTTAGCTCCATTCCACGCTGGGCCAGGAGGAAAAAGAAGAGGATCAAACCAGCCTTGACTGTGGCAGTGGCACTGAGATAGAGGGTGCTGCTGAGTCCTCACAGTGGAAGGAAACGTGGCTCAGGGAAGTTATGTGACTGGCCCAAGGCCACACAGCTAGTCAGCACCCACATTGAGACTGTATAGCTTTGGAGTCCAGCCTCTGGACACTGAGTCACATGCAGGTGTGGGCTACACGGGTCAGGGAAGGCTCTGCAGAGGGCAGAACTTGAATCGGCCCCCATGGTGACAAGCTCAGTGCAGGAGATGGATGGAAGTGCTATTCTTTGAAAGAGGCTGTGTCTATCAAAACTGTGAGAGTGGAGGCGAGGTGTGGTGGTGCACACCTACAATCTTAGCACTAAGAAAGCTGGGGCAGGAAGATCACCGTGAATTGGAGGCCAGCCTGGGCTACATAGTGAGTTCAAATCCAGCTTGGACCACACAGCAAGACCTTATCTTAAAAAATGAAAAAATAAAAAAGAGAAGAGTTTAAAAGGGTATTTAGTACATTGAAAAGCCATACTTAGAAAAGAAAAATACTCTTGATAAGTAGTGTTACTTTGTGCTGTAGGAAATCACAGCTTCCTGCAAGAGATGAATCCCTTGATTAAAAATATTTCTTCTGGGGCTGGGGATTTAGCTCAGTGGTTCCGTCACCTGCTTTGCAAGCGCAAGGTCCCGAGTTTGATCCCCGGTACCAAAAAAAAAAAAAAAGCTTCTTCTGGCCTCTTGGTAAGGCAAGAGGCTCCAGAGTGCTTTGCAAAATAACAGACCTGGGAGTCTGAAAATTAGCCTCTCTTTTCTGGACAGAGATAGTCGATCATTTCTACGACTTATGATCCAAAGTGAGGATCTGAGTGCCAAGTGAGAAAAATTGTAGTTAGATACAGTTTGTTAACTGTTTTCCCCAACCTTTTACCTTTTCAAAGTTCCCAGTGCACCCTAAATTCTAACTTTCATTTTAAATGAAGATCCCATTACAGTAACTGAAAATTACAGGGTTGTTTATAACCCCACTTCCACTCTTCTTAATGTTTTCTACTTCATACCTTCGTATGCTGTTGAATTGGGGCTCAGAAGAAAGCAAAACTCTCATGATACTTTTTCTACCCTTTTCCGTTTTCTCCTTAGGCCTCTGCCTCCATTATTTTTAGGGTGTAATAATTTGGAGGGGGCGTGGAGCAGTGCTAATGGACTTCATGGTGTTGGGCGCTCGCGTGCCCTTTAGTGGCTTCTTTACTCACAGGGAGAAGTGTGTGTGAGCCTGTGTGTGTGTGTGTGTGTGTGCGTGTGCGCGCGCGCGCCACACCTGATGGAGGGCTGGTGTAGAACACAGGCTGAGAAATGGTAGACGAGTTGGAGTGACTGAAGGCCACCTCCGAACTGTTTTAAAACAAAGCTAAGGAGCACCGTTCAGGTTTCTCTGACAGCGAGGCCAAACAGTTTTGATTTCCCAAAGCCGATGCCATACAGGCAGGTCAGTGGCCAGCAGGGACACTCCTTACCTTGTCGATGATGTGAATCATGCCGTTGGTGGCCACATTGTCACCATCGACGATGGAGGCTCCTCCGATGGTGACGTTCTGCAAACGCAGAGCGCGTTGCCCAGGTGAGCTTGAGAACACACCAGCATGCTCTCGGGTGGGAGTCGCAGTAAGGGACAGCTTTAAACTGTGACTCGTTAGACACCACACACACACACACACACACACACGTGCGCGCACAACCATACTTCCCCTACTAGGAGGTGTGATCAAAATACACAGTACAGGTTTACATTAAACATTTATTACAGGGGCAGCCCACTTTCCGGTCCCTCCTGTCTCTCTTAGACAGAAGCTGTCTTTCTCTTAATAAATGTTTCCTACTCTAAAAAAACAAAACAAAAAAATCCCCCCAAACAAAAAAATTTATTACAGTAAAAGACACATTGGCACGAGTCCCCCTCAAGACCCTCCTGCGCCCATGGAACACACCCAGCCCATTGTCCTTGCCGCTTTCTGAAGCAGTTCTTGACGTATCTTTCATGTCTTTGTGAGACATGATAAAAATACAGTGAATGGTGCTGCCGATTCCCATCCAGCAGGAAGACAGGCTGGGAAAACATGACAGTTCATCCTCAGCTGCCTACTCCCTGGATCTGGCCCTGTTCTGCTCATTTCCACAGAAAATGGCCATGAAAAGCAAACATTTTGTAACGATTAGGACACGGAAGCAGCCAGGAGAGTGCACACTCTCAGGGAGGAGGACTCCAGAGCTGCTGTGGAAAGCGGCAAGAACATGGGATAAATGTGTGTGAAGCAAGGGGGCGGATTTTGAGTGGAATTAGTGGCATGTCTTCTACCATAACACATTTTTAACATTTAAACATTCACCGTACTTTTCGATCAGACCCCATCTGGGAGAGATTCTCCGATCGTCAGTTCTGCTCTATCCCATTTTACTAAGAAGCTTCCGGTGCAGTTCATTCAGTGACTTCGAAGTCTGAAAATGATTTCAGACAGAGGTGTGGCTGAATTGTGTCCCCTGCCCCCACAATTCATATGCTGAGGTCCTCACTCCCAAAACTTGGGTTGTGACCTTATTTGGAGATAGGGTTGTTAGAGAGATGCTCCAGGAAAAGCGGGGTCAAGAGGGTGGCCCCAGCCCAATATGCCAGGTGTCCTCATAAGTAGGGGACACTTGCTACAGAGACACCCAGGGAGTGGCGAAGGTCATGTGACCAACACGGATGCCACAGGCCAGGAGCCAGGCCTGAGACAGTCCTTCCCTCAAAGAAGCAACCACCTTTGCCAACACTGAGTGAGGGCTTGCAGCTTTCAAAACCACAAGAGAATATATTTCTGTTCTCTAAGCCACTTTGCCTGTTGTTCTAGCAGCCTGAGCACACAAATGCAGACAGTCATTGGCTTTCTCCGTCAGAATCCAACCACTCTTAGGACTGCTCATTCTACGAGGATGGGCGAAGTGAAACTCACCTCCCCACCCTGCCAGCCACCAACCGAGCAGAACTGAGCGGCTTCTCCTCTGGTTTCCTCTCCTCTGCCCCGCCCCAAACCTTTGTTGGAGATTCTGCCCGGGGACATGGGTGAAGAAGGAAGGACACTTGTGTCACCCTGGGCAGGGGACATGACAAAGGGTGGCACTCCGCATGTCTCTCTTGGTTAGTGGGAAGCATTCTCTAGGACCCAGGAGCGACTCGTTAGAAATGTGTTTCTGGGCGGCTGCTCAGGGAGGGGCCTTGGTTGATCACATGGGAACCTACAGAGCTCGGAGGTGCCCAGAAGGGAGGGTGTTTAGCTGGTTCTTGTTAGAAGAACCGACAGGTGGAATACGAGTGGGTTGGCATGGCTAAAGTGATCATTGTACGATGCATGTGTGCATGGCACCATCATGAACACACTTTACATAGGTATGCACTTTGAATGTCCTTTTGTTTATCCACAGCCCATTGTGCATATTTAAGTGTAATATTTCAGCACATATGCCCACTGTGTAAGGATCAATTCGGGACGCTTGGGCTGCTGACATCCCAGTCAGCTCTCATTTCTTTATGATGACGACAGTCAAAGCCAGCTCTCTTAGTTATTTCATACATATAACATTAACTATAATCACCCTTCTGTGGAACAGTACACCAGAACTTATCCCTCCTACTTGGCTGTATCTTTATACCCATGAGTCTATCTCAAATTTTTATTTAAAATTCTCAAAAATAATACGAGTGTCACTGGAATGATTGAAATGAGAGGTAAAAAAATCTATGAAAGGCTCCAGGCAAAAAGGAACTTTCCTGCATTGTTGGTGGGAATGTAAACTAGTATAACCACCGTGGAAATCAGTGTGGAGAGTCTTCAAAAAACCACGACTGAAAATTCCATGTGACTCACCTACCACCTTTCTAGGTCCCTTCCTAAAAGAGTTAAAGCCATCAGATTACAGTGATCCACGCATGCCCATGTTTATAGCAGCACAACTCACAAAAGCTAAATCTTGGAAGTGGCCTATGTGTCCATCAGCAGATGAAGGGAAAAGAAAATGTGGTATTTACACACAGTGGAGCACTACTCTGCCATAAATAAGGGTAAACTGGAGTCATTTGTAGGAAAACGGATGCACCTTGAGACCATAATGTAAAGCGAAATAGATCAGACCCACAAGCTTGAATATCACATGGTTTCTCATATATGAGAAACTCAAAATATAAATAAATTAAAGAGCAAAACAAATGGTAGATAATAGGGAACAGAGAGGTAGATCTTTTGTGAATGGAAAGGCCAAAAGAGAGGAAGGCAAGGAGATGGACAAAGCATTAAGATGTGTTACATCCATGTGCCACTGTCTACCGTGAAGGTAGTCATTACGTACCGAAAACACGGACTAACAGAAAAGGAAGGGCATAGCTCGAAAGAATTCATGCATATTCTGCCCCCTGAAAGGAATCCCCGGGGAGCTGGGCGCATTAGGGTGTAGCTGCAGGGGTCCCTGTCCATCCTGGGGGAGGCTCCGAAAGTGATTCTCCAGCAGCTCTGGCCCCAGCCCACAAGCCACTGGTGGGCAGCTCTGCCCACTCTCATCCTGGGCAACTCACAGAGAGAGCTTTGCGGAACCCCCAGCTGGGCAGCCACCTGCCTCGGGGAACTCAGAGCCCGAGTCTGAGTCCAGGACCCGCTGTGGAGGCGCTAGGCCAGGAGCTCCTCCTGCTGGTGCAGAGCAGGGGCTCAGTAGGGGCTTGTGGTCGACTCTAAGTTCCTATGCACTGAGAGTGATCCATGACGACCCTTAGTAGGCTGTAGTAGCCAGTTTGGAGTAACTGCGCACCATGATAAAAGTCTGTGCCTGCCAGGAGGAGGGAATGCGGCCACGCCTCACAGGGTCCGTGCCATAACCTCTTGTGTGCGCATGTGTGTGTGTGTGCGTGTGCATGTGTGTGTGTGTGCATATTAATATACATTGATAATTGTTCTAACTGGGTGATGGTCACGTGGAGTTCTACTTTATTTTTTGCACTTATTTGGAAACTTCCTATCACAAAAGTTAAAAAATACCACAAGAATAAAAATGTCATGCATCAGTGAGACCATCGACAGAGCTCTCTTACCCCATCTGCCTTTTCCAGGTGAAGAAAGCCACCTGGTAGAGACGTGGCCAGCATGTCAGAGGATGTCAGGCTCTGCAGATCTGCCACACCGTAGGTGCCTAGGATGGTGTGGAACCTAAACAACAGACCGTGGGCTTACAGTGAAATATCAGCATGAGAGGAGGTGTCAGGGAGAAGCCAGGAGAGCAGGTGCTGGAGCCAGGCTGCCATTGGAAATACCCTTTCTGCAGCCATGGCTAAGTTAGTTACTTAGCCACTCTGTGCCTCAGTTCCCACACCTACAAATGGGGGAGTTAGAGCACCTGTCAGGGTTGCTGGGAGGGCTAACAGAAAGTTACATGCAAAGCTTGGCGTGGAGTTGGCTGTCATGGTCACCAGCAGTCACCATGTTAGTGGAGAGAAGCGGAGGGAACCCTGGACAGGTGAGTTACATGGACTTGAAGGGCATGGGCTTCCTTCACTGAACATCTAGGGTAGGTTCGGACCCGGGCCCAGGGCACCACGAAGACCGAAGTAAACAAGACTTACTTTATCAGGGCCGGGAGATCGCTCCATGACAACCAGAAGCTCTTCTCGTCTCGGTCCATGTCCTCAATAGCTCGCCAGGACGGCACGAGGACGGTGAGGTTGGAGGTGCTGGACAGCAGGGGTTGCAGCGACGCTTTCTGGATCACAGGAGGAGAGCACAGTGACCTGACTCCCGCCGAGGCCCACAGGGCTGGATTCCATGCTTGGCAGAGTTGACAAGTGATGGAATTCCAGGGACGCTGTCCACCCCAACTGCTGGCGGATGCCTCCAATTCTCTAGTGAGACTCATTCTTTTTATTAAAAAGTGAGGCTTGCCAGAGTACCTGCTGGCAAGCCCAGCACTCTAGGAGGCTGGGGCAGGAGGATCTTGAGTTCAAACCCAGCCTGGGCATCTGTGCAACTTAGTGAGACCTTGTCTCAAAATTAAAAATATAAAAGGGCCATGGATGTGGCTCAGTGTGAAGGCCCTGGGTTTGATCCCCAATCTCATGAAGAAAATGAGGCTTGTCAGAATGCAGATTTTCTTGAACAGGTCACTTTGAGTCATTGCAAGTCCTTTACACTTCAGTCTAAATGAGGAGCCAGAGAAATAGTCCTGATAGAGTTGTGTGTGTGCGTGCGTGTGTGTGTGTGTGTGTGTGTGTGTGTGTGTGAAAACAAACCTTGGCTCTCAGCATTCGCTGATTTCAGGCTGTGGCCACTGAAAGTGAATGGGGGACACAATTGAAGGGGACAGGAAGATCGAGGCCGTGCGCAAGCCTGTGCACACAGGCTGAGGCCTCGCCTGAGGACAAGGCAGGCGGAAATCAGACCCCTGTGGGGGCGGGATTCCCAGAGGCCCCTGCGGAAGTGACAGGGAGCTGTCCTGGGGTGCAGTTGAGCAGGCCCCGTGAGACAGAGCCTTTAAGCAGGGGTGGAGCATCTGTCACAGGCAGAGGGGGATGCAGAGGCTGCAGCAGGTGGGGTGGCCTGGGCTCCTGATTATAACACTCTCCAGGGGAGGGAGGCGCTCTTCTGGGTACGCCAAGTACCCAGGGGGAAGCACTACTGAGTGCCCCAGACTGCAGCGACAGAGCCACCTCCGTCCGGATGGCTCTCATCAGGAACGGTGTTCACTTCTTACAAAGCCCTGCGGTGGAGGACGCTGAGCATCTGAGCACCCAGCTAACCCTGCTCCAGAAGTGGGCAGCCGTGGCTGCTCAGCGTCACTTGGGGGCTCTGAGGCACCCCGACACCCAGGGCAAACTCAGAGTCCGGAGTGGGCACCCGGGAAGGGAGGTGGGAATGTGCCTCGTAGTCAGGGCGGAGGACTGCTGCGTGGCACAGCCCCGTCCTCCTCACCACCCGTACCCTGTCTGCCTTTGTACGCATCCATCCCACATTTCCAAACTGAGGCAGGCCAAGATCGCATCTCCAGCGAGGTACTCACACTGATCCACTGGTTAAAGGCAGCTGCTTCGGGGAGAAATGACAACTCCTTGTTCATTTCGAGGCAGGGCAGGAGGGAGAGAGGAGAAAGACAGGGGGAAAAGGACAATGAGGAACAGGTCACACTCGCCCTGCAGGGTGGGCCGGGCTCACCGATGAGGGTGCTGTGTCCCAGGGGGCTGAATTTCCTCGCCCCGGAGCTGCACATTTCTCTCTCTCCTAGGGGGCTCCGTGACCCTCTTTACTGAGGTAAAGCATGAATTCCAGAAACTTCACGTCAAGCAACAACCTGAAGTTCTCTCAAATCAGAATTTGGGCTGTAAGGGCACGGCCAGCCAGACCCTGAGCTGGGTGAGAAGGTCAGCAACAGTTAGTGAGTTACACTTCCTGCACGTAGGGGCCGGGGCTGGGAGCCCAGATCAGACCACCTAGGTCTTGGCTCCAACACAACCATTCAGCTCGAGAAAGGGGTCATGAGGCTCCAGCTCACAGGACTGATGAGAAACAGGGGGGTTAACGCTTTTAAAGTGGTTTGAATAGAGGCTGCAGGCGGGAAGTGTTAGCCCCTTGTTTGAAATGGACTGAGCATGGACCTTGTTAATGAATGAGCGTGGATAGGAAGCCACCACCGCCAGAACTGGGATGGAGCGAGGGAAGGGATAGGTGCCAGAGGGAGAAGCTGCTATTCTCTAACTTGCAGTGGGCTCAGGAGAGCCACGCCCTGAAGAGAGTTGGTTACGGCACTGCCGGTAATCAGTTCTCTTTGAAGGTATAACAGAGTTTTAAAAAGCTCTAGACTTCGTGTTAGAGAGATGGGGTTTAATTCTTGGGTCGTCTATTTCCTAGCTGTGTGATCTTGGGCAAGTCACTTAACCTCTCTGAGACTCAGTGTCTCGTGTGATTACTGAACACGATGAGGTTTAAGTGCATTCAGATATATGAAAACAGTAAAAAACCTGTAAAATATCACCCAAGTGGCAGTAACAATTATATGCAAATTTATATAAAGGCAACAAATCTCAGAGCTGTTATCAATTCCTTTTTAAAAGCAGTTGAGGTTATTAAAAGAGTCAGTAAATACATGTTAAAAAGTAAATTAGTAGCCAGGTATGTGTAATCCCAGCTACTTGGAAGGGAGAGGCAGGAGAATCACAGGTTTGAGGCCAGTTTGGGCAACTTAGTGAGATCTTGTCTCAAAATAACGAATAAAAAGGGTGGGGATGTAGCTAGTGTGGTACCCTGGACTGATCCTTAGTACCAAAGAAAGAAAAAAGTTAATTGGTAAGAAAACAAAGCAGGAGAGCAGAGCTGCCGGAGTAATTCCTTCCAGGGGCGTTTGGGGTGTGCAGGCCCCGCGCTGGGCCTGAACTGACTGCAGGAAGCCAGCGGAGGGTCTCGGAGGGGAGGGAGGGCCAGCCAGGCGGGGAGGCTGTGGGAGAAAAGTGGACCCTTGTGGACGCCCGCGGCCATGCGGGGCTGGGCCTGCAGCTTGTGAGCATGGTGGAGAGGGCCGCCACGAAAGCAGAAGTCCAGGGTGAGGAAATGTGGCGTGGACAGAGCCGAGCTGCTGCATGGTGCAGGGTCAGGGGGCAGCTCTCTGCTGCTGCAGCGACAGAAGAGTCAGTGGGGAGCAGAGGGGGGTGCCTCAGATAGCAGGGGAGGCCCTGGGGACCGGCGCTCAGTGTGGGAGGTGGGGTCCCCGGGGTTGTGAGCCTCACATCCGTGTGAGCTGGAGTCCGGACCAACTGCTTTGAGGGGAGTAAAAAGTAAGTGACAGGCAAATTTGTCAACTTACTTTGTTGCTCATTTTGACAAATATTCTCTCTCTCTTTCATTTCACTCTTTTTGAGACAGGGTCTGTCTATGTAGTTCAAAGGTAGCCTCGAACTCACAGTGATCCTCCTGCCTTAGCCTCCTGAGTCCTGGGATTACAGACATGCACCACCATGCTCGAAGTGGACAAAAAACGTGAGACAGTGGCAGTTTGGTGTGACCCCTACTCTATGGACAGGATACTCCGAACCAGGCGGGCACTGGGCTCTGCACTTAGGCATCTGGTTAGAAGGTGCAGGGAAGTCAGCTCCCTGCAGCCTGCAGAGCGAGAGGCCTCGGGCATGCATGGCGCCCGTGAGAAGCCTGCGAATCTCCTGCTGAAGCCTTTGTGCTGCGAGGTTTGTGCTCCCGGGGCTTTGTCTTCGCCATTCTGCCCCAGGTCCTTGAGGGCGACTTACGGTGGCCACGTCGCCGTAGCACAGGACTCCGTCCCCCTCGTAGCCCTCCTGGCAAACACAGCTCCAGGCGCCAGGGGCCACAGCTTGGCAGGTTGCCTGCGGAGACCAAGGTGAAGGGAGTGGGAGCTGCATGCGTGAGACCCCGGGTGGCACCTGATTTGGGAACTGCAGACCAGAGCGGAGCAAGGAACCCACAGACCGCAGGTGGAGAAACTGTGGCACGCGGGCCGGAGCGGGCTGTTTGTTATCACCGAAAGCCCTACAAGGTTCGCCATCGCGGCCACAGGCCCTGAGGGTCACAGAACAGCTTGTGCGGCAGCTCTTATTTAATCACAACCAAAACTTTTCCTCCCTGCCAGCCGATGAAAAATGCAAAAAACGCAGTTAAACTTGAGTTTCAGACAAATGAGGAATAAGTGTGATAGAAGCTTGTCTCATTCAGGCACTATTTGGGGCATATTTCTGCTGAGAAAATATTCTTTGTGCATCTGAAGTTCAAATTTAACTGAGTGTCCGTGTTTTATCTGACAGCCCAGTGTTGGCGCTTCACGCTTTGCAGCGGAGAGGATTCCATCCGCTCACACTCTGCTCTCGACTCCCTTTGTGGATGAGACAGAGTCTGTTGCTTCCTAGGCTCAGATAAGAAGTAGTAACCTAACCTTTTTCTCTCTTGATCCTTTTTTGGTTTGTTTAGTAACTCACCAGTGGGTGACACTTCCCGGTTTGTTCCAAGCATGAGATTATCGGTTCGCAGTCGATCCCATTTCCTCGAAATCCTTTCTGACACTCACATTCGTTCTGTAATTCCAAGAACACAGTCAGAGGGACCCTGAAAGCATGAGTTTTCCCTGCCTCATCCTCTGAGACACTGAACAATCCCCCAGGGAAGCCTTGGCTGCGGCCCCCCAGGGAGCAGGGACAGTGTCTTTTGTTTGCTCTACTTGGAGCCGTCAGTCTCCTGTCACACGGTCCTTGGTGCTTCCCTTTTGGGTTCTTAACCCTGAAGTGCTTGTGGAGAGCCTGGGGAAGGACTTGGACCTCACCCCGGAGAGCTTGGTGCCCATGCCTACGAGAGGCGGGAGCGAGCCCCGGGCGTCCACTCGGTGGAGATGCGAGCATGAGGCTGTTGCCAGCATGGAAGGCACCTTGCTCAGTTTAGAAAAGGCTCCCTCCGTCAGGTGGATTGAGAAGGCACTGGCCCTGCGTGGACAGCCCACCAGCACATGGCTCAGCGGGCAGATGGCACCTCCACGCCAGTAACATGGCCTTTCCCGTGTGCAGGTGCAGCGGGACGCCAGGGTTCGGACTTCGGGGTGCAGGGCCCAGACAGCTTCAGCCTCCGAAGCTCTCAGGAGGGACCAGTGTGGGCAACACCTCACTCAGCCCTCGGCCTCTGGAGCTGTGACGCAATGCTTTTCACTGTGCCCCGCCACCCAGGGTGAGGGGCCTTGGTGTGGTGGTCCTAGGAAACATACAGGCACCACAACACTTTTGTCTTCTCTCTAAAGCAATTTGCATCTCAAGTGCAGCAAGGACAAACAGAAGCATTTACTGAAAGCTTGGCGAGACATGACATAGGGAGGTCGTCCAGGATTAGGGCTCCTGGGGCCCAGTGTTAAAGCTCATCGGCTCCTGACCTGCAAGTAGGTGGGGGCGTCCGGGAAACCAGAGGCGTAGGCAGGAAGGCAGCCCCCGTTTTGGGGGTCAACCAGACCACGGACGGGGCTCACTGTGCCTGGATTCACAGTGTTCACCTCTGATCCCATGTGTGTCTGTCACCTCACACAGGGCTGTGTTTCTCCAGGGCTGGTTGAGGCCTGACCCCGGTGGCTTTCTGTCCCCACCACCGAGTCCAGAGGCCCCCGCTGAGTTGGGTCAGCGAGGGAGGGAAGGAACACACTGACAACACCTGCTTCATTTTGTCATCCGCACAGCATCTGTTCTCTCTCCTCCTAGGCGAGGTCCGGCTCTCTGGCTTTGGGGATGCCCTCCCACTCCCTTGGCCTTTCACACTCCTCCGCCCCAGGGTGGCAGCATAGGACGCTGGCCCAAGCTGTCAGCATGGCAAGCAAAGGCAGGCCCGCCCTGCGCAGTGCCCCTCGTGGTGGGAAAAATCCATCCCTCCGGGAGGAGAAGAGAATGTGGAGATTCAAAAAACGTCAGACTCAAAACATGCAAGTGAGAAATTGATTCAAGAGCCAAAAGATAAAGGGGCGATTTCAGATCCAGGCTCCCGTCTTCCACGTCTTCTGGCCTCCTGGAGGGAGGACGTGGAGGGTGGGTGTGGAGTGGGGCCCCATGCGTCCCTCTTCCCACGGCCCTGGTCCTAGCCCACTTTGTAGCAGTTGCCCTCTCTGTCCTGGTCTTGTCAAATGAAGGCAGGCGAAAGTGACACGGGCCACAGATCGCTATGGGAGTCTAAACCGGGGTCCGAGAGGTGACCCGGGGAGCAGCGCCGGGGCCAGCCCTCCGGTGCAAAGCCCACAGCACGGTTTCTTTTCCGTGTGATGTGAGGGAATCACTCAGCGCCTCAGAGCCTCCGTTTCCCTTTCTATGGGGTGGGGTGATATTGATACCGATGTCCTGGGTTTGCTGCCACAGTGAGCCCATTCTCCTTGCCACAAAGGACAGGAAGACCCACAGCAAGCTCCAGTCAGTGTGAGTCTGTGCTGGGACCAAAGTCCTGGCCCCTCTTCACCTCCCACCCCGCGCAGCCTACCTGGCCCGGGCCCACGTACAGACAGGTGGCACTGCCATGGCAGCCGCCCTTGCTGGGCAGCAGGCAGGGGTTGATCTCCTTGCAGTCCCTGCCACTGCCCATCCAGCCTCGGTGGCACACGCAGGTGTGTGACCCTGGGCCGGTTTTGATGCATTCAGCCTGCGGGAGGAAGAGGAGAAGGAGCTGGAACTCTGAGCCAACGGGCCAGCTGCATGATTCCAAGAGTCTAAGAGGGTCCAGGGGAACGTGCTGGAAGTGCGTGTGTCCCAGAGCGAAGTGGGGAGGGTGGGCAGGCTTGTTTGCGAGAATGTCAGCAGAAGGATGAGATGGTTTCGAGGGTGAAATTGCCTGGGACGGGCTGCTCCCGCTCGCCCCCCTGTGCTAGGGATTAGGTCAGGGACTGTTTCAATTGGTTTGCAGTCAAGGAAGGGACTGTTGTCATCTCTACGAAAGGGGAAGCAGGCATTGCTGCGAGCCACATGGCTGCAGAGGCACGGGCCCAGCTCTCCCTCGGTGACACTGGGGTCCGAGCCCCTAAGCGCCATCCTAATGCCCGGGGGGGCTGCAACAGGCTGAGAGGAGGAGGAGAAGAAGATGACAAGTCACTGGGGTGGGCCTGTCTGGGGTGGGCGGAGCTAGGCCCTTGCGACCCCGGAAATGACGGAAGCAGATTCAGCCGGGGGTGGGGGTGCCAGCCACCTGGCGGTGGGTGGACAGGAGAGGAAGTCATGCCACCCCACCCGTGGTTACACCCTGGCTTAGGAATGCAGTGGCTGGGGTGGGGGTGGGGTGGCAAGATTGGCAAGATATTAGGGCGAACAGTGTGGCTTCTGGCCACACCGCTAGTTGCAGCTGAGCCCAGGGCCACTCACTCAACTTCCTGAGCCTCAGTTTTCTAACGGGCACCATGGGAAGAGCAGCATCCACTTCAGTGTGCGGGTGGGAGGAGCACATGTGACCGGGCACACCCCCCTGTGAGCTGTGAAGCCTGAGTCAAGAGTTATTAGCCTCGATCTCAATATCAGGTTCTCAGGCTGTGTTTTTGGAAGTGCCCAGAACCCTTAATTCTGCCTGGAATTCTGGGCTCACGGCAGGAGTCTTTAGCATTGGAGGTTCAAACACAAGAGCTCCCTGGGTATGCAGAGTGATCAGACACTGGCTTTGAGAGTTTCTCCCCTCAGGATTTCCAAAAAGTCCTGTGTAGCTGGGAGGTAAAGGCTAACACTCACGTTGCGGCTGCAGCCTCCCCGGTCTGGGTCTCTACAGGGGTCCTGCTCGTAGCAACCAAAGCCGTCATAAAGGTAGCCGTCCTCGCAGATGCAGCTGTGCGGGGAGAAGGGCACAGCTCAGCCCCAACCGCCCAAGATGGGCCAGCTCTTGGGGAGGAAGTCAGCATCCAAAGGTGGTCGTGTCCTTCTGGGGTCTGCAGTCAGACAGCTTCCCTCTTCTTGGCAGTGGTGTGACCCTGCACGTGGCCCTCCACAGTGGGCACTTGGTTTCCTCTTCTGGAAAGTACACGGGTCTGACGCCTCCTGCCTGAGGCCACAGCGAGAATGAGATGAACAAATGCACTCAGGCTGTGCAGCAGCGTCCTAGGACACCCTGCGGCTCAATGCCGGCAGCTTCTCTGCTCCTTCTGGGCTGGAACTTGCCTCTTTATACCTCTTCCTGCTCAGGGCTAGCTATTATCTCTGGGTCAGCAGAGAATAACTCTGTTTAGGTGACAGCTCTTAAAATACTGGGAAAGCACCATGGGGCCAAGTTCCTCTCTGCCTAGGTGGGGTCGTCAGCTCTCAGGGGCTTTTTCAGAGCTGCCCCAGGCCCTCCAAAAAAGCTTGAGGCCCTTGCTGGTCCCTCAGATATTTTGCGCCCAAACACAACATTCTCGGGTACCCCATACTGGAGGTGACCTGGTGTCTGACCCATCACCCTTCCCAACACGCCTCTCGAGACATTTGCTGGTGATGCTTTTGCTGTTAGATGCAGGGCATTCATTCATCCACAGTGTCTATCATGGGTCAAGGTCCGAAGAGGAACGGCCTGGCGCCATCTGTCCCTGCACTGCCTCCCGGTACACACTGCACTCAGCTATTCCTTCACAGAGGACTCAGAGGCACCCAGGGTCAGTTTTTTTTTGGTTTTTTTTTTTGGTATCGGGGATCGAACTCGGGTCCTTGCGCTTGCAAGGCAGGCAATGGAACCACTGAGCTAAATCCCCGGCAACCCAGGGTAAGTTTGATCACAGTATTTTCGCCTGATGCCCGGGGGTGGATCCCAATTCCTTAAGAAGATGTCTTTCTGTCCTACAAGCTGTGGAAAGGGAAATGCCATCTCTGGTCCCAGGTAGCCTGCATTCCACCGGGGGAGATAGAGCAAAACAAGTAGGCGCAGAAAAGAAAAGAGGCATCGGAGTGGGGCAGGGGCTCCACAGCTGCTGTTTTCTCAGGAGGGTTTGCACGGCTGCCGCCTTTGAACCGGATCTTCCTAGACCAGCACATTTCCCGTGGCATTTCCACCCCCCACCCACTACCGTGGTCAGGCAGCACAGCACTGAGGAAATAAACGGCAACTCATCCGCGAAGGACTCGATTTCATGCCAAGGCCTTTACTGGAGGAGGTTGAACAAGAAAAGGTGCCTGGAATGTAGGAAAGTGGTGGCGAATCTTTACTTTGTGATGGAAATGATTATGTATTCCCTGATGGGACACGAATGACACCCTCGCTCGAGTGCTGGGTGCTTTTCAACTCGGTTCTTCTCATCCCCGCTATGGCCCTGCTAGGGGGATATGATCAGCATTAATGAGCAAAGTGAAGCTCAGGTAGGTCAAGTAACTTGCCTCAGGACACACAGCTGGTAAGTTTCAAAGCAGGGAGTGCTACAACTTGAATCCAGCATGTGGAGCCCCGCCAGCTCCATTCCCAGGTAGCAGACGGCGGTGGCCTTACCTCCACGGACCTACCTTTCTCCGTAAATTTCCGATTGGCAGAAGGAGCGGACGTCACAGACAGGCACTAGGTAGCCACAGGGAAAGGCCCGGAAATTGCAGAAATGCCCAAATGTGCCGTCTTGGCAGGTGTCAGGCAGGCAGTCCCCGTTGCTGTCTACCCTGTTGTTGCAGGTCCCCTTGACACACCGGCATCCTGAGGAAGGAGGAAGAGGGACGCTTAGGGCTGGGTCCAGTGTCCGGAAGGATGGCAGCCCCTCCTTCACCCTGTCCAGGCCGAGCCTGGGCAGAACCCGAGGGAATCTCAGGTTGTTGCCTCCTGGGGGCTGGCTCACATCTCAGAGGGCTGGGACAGCCCTGGGGAGAAGCGGTCCTGTGTGTTTTATATGAGCTGTGCTCGAAAAGTATGGTGAAGGCTTAAATAAAAAATTCTTCCAGTAAAAGACACATTGGCATGAATCCCCCTCAAAATCTTCCTCCTCCCTTTGAACACACGCATCCCACCAGTCTTGCCACTTTCTGAAGTGGCTCTAGAAGTCCTCTTTTGTGAGCGTTTTTAGTTGTGCTGTCCTGCCTGTCTCAATGTCCTGAATCCATTCAAAACATTTCCCTTCCATGGTCATTCTGACTTGGGGAAGAGCCGGAAGTCACATGGTGCCAGATCTGGTGAATAAGGTCAGGTGAGTAAACACCATGATGTTTGCTCGAGCCTGCATTCAGCAGCAGCATTCACTATTTGTGACCACACCTCGTCAGGACACTCACAGAAGAGGACTTTGGGAAGTGCTTCAGAAGGGGGCAAGGACGGCGGGACAGGTGTGTCCAAAGTGAGGAGGAGGATTTTGAGGGGGGATTCATGGCAGGGTGTTTTTTTAATTGTCATAAATTTTGAAAAATGTAAACATTAACCCTGTGTGGTGATGGAGCCTTGTATATGTGTGTGGAGTATAGGGTGGGAGGTGGCTTTAATGGGACAAAAGAAGCAAAGTAAGTCAATTTTCAACTACTTTGTGGTCAGATAATTTAGCCAGGCCGTTGTTCACTTTCTCCTGAAGATGTTCAGGAATAAACAGAAGTGATTTCTCACACGGGCAGAGCCCCTGATGAGCGTGTGTGTTTGTCCTTCACTCTCCACCATGGCAACCAATGACAGCAAGTGGCCAACATCTGGGCCCTGACATCCTGAGAGGCCACGTCCTCCACTTCATTAGTAGTCACCAGGCCCGGGAAGTTGGTACTGATATATCTTGCTGCTTCTTTTTTTTCCCCATTCTCCTCCCCTCCCTTCAACCCTGCTTCCCCTCCTCATTTCCCAGATACAGAAACCGAGGGCTGGAGAGGTGAAGCAAGTCATCCAACTTGCCATTAAGTTCCCAAGCAGAGCCTTGAACCAGAGCCCTCAAAATCTATTTCTCCATGTTCTTTTTTTTGGTACCGGGGATAGAACTCGGGTTCTTGTGCTTGTGAGGCAGGCAGCGGAACCACTGAGCTAAATCCCCAGCCCCAAAGTCCATTTCTATTAGTGCGTGCAAACAGAGCAGGTCATTCTGTCCACTGGCATCTCCACATCTCTGTTACCATTGTAGACGTGAGCTGCTTTCTTTGCTTCTGAGTGTGGGTATTTAAACACTGGGATGAGAGGAGGAAGACAAGAAACTCAGAGGAAGGTGGTAGGGTGTGATCCTAAAGGAAGGGAAGTGCAGCTGTGCCCCGGAGGGACGGAAAAGACAAACACGAGTGAGGGTGGCTGAAAAGTCACAACTGGATTTAAACAAAAAATAACTTGTATCTAGTTTTAAGGAAGGCAGCTTAGCTGGTAAGGGATAAGATCCCCGCGTGAAGTCACAGGCAGGCACGGAGCTGGGAGGGGACGAAGTGGAGCCAGAAGCTCAGCCCCCAAGCCTAGCCTCTGCATCCTGCTGCTAGGGGATCAGACAACACCAGGGTTGTCAGCTTTGGAGAAAGTGCCTTTTTTGTGTCCCAGAAATCTTATTTGGCAAAAAAGAACAATAGAGTAGGATTCAGCAGGCCTGACCCTGCCTTGCTGTGGTTTCCTGTTCATCTGGAGGGGCACTGAGGAAGCCTGCAGAAGGTAAGAAAGGGGAAGCATGTGTTTTCTAACAGATGCATGGCACTAGCAGGGCTAGGTCTAAAAGCCCCAAACTAGGTGCCTTAACCCTATCAATAACCTGTGAAGCAGCCCTGGATTCTGCATATGTGAATTCAACCAGGCTTAGATAAAAAGATAGTTTTTAAAAATTGCATTCATCTTGAACATGCTTAGACTTTTTTCTTGTCATTATTGCCTAAGCAATACATATAACAATTTACAGAGCATTTATATTGTATTAAATATTGTAAGCAACCCCAGAGAGCATTCACAACATATGGGGGAAGTGTACAGCATTTGCAAATAGTAGCATGCCAGATGAGGAACTTGAACATCTGGTTTTGGTGTCCACAGGGCAGGGTGGGGGCCATCCTTGAACCCAGCCCCAAGGACATCAAAGGACAGCTGTACCAATATTATCTTCATTTTATAGATGGAGAAATTGAGAGATTTATTTTCAGGCAGTATGGTCAATAAATTGCAGAGTGAGAATTTAACTTCTGGTTGGTCTGACTCCACAACAAGCTCTTACCTATTCATTTTATTTTATCAGTAATTCTAATCTTAGCTTAGAACAATATGTCTAATATATATATTTAAATATACACGGGATGTAATTTTAAGAATATGATGTACTTTCTAAGATCATATAGCTGCATTTTTTCAATGGCTATTGTGGAACTTTCCACATATCTACTAGTGTTTTGATGTCGCCGTCACTGCACTTAAAATAACAGCAACCACAATAAGAGATGACAACAATCACTAACATGTGTGTAGCATAAGCTGCATTCTAGGCATTTCCCTGAGGGAATAGCTTTCCATTTGTAACTGGCACTCAGCCTTACCAGGTAGGTCCTGGTCTTTTATTTTTGGTACCGGGGATCGAACTTGGGTCCTTGTGCTTGTGCAACAGGCGGCGAAACCACTGAGCTAAATCCCCGGCACCAGGTAGGTCCTGGTCTTATCACCTTGTTTCCACAGAGGCCTGGGAAGATTGGTGACTTGGCTACAACCACCTCCTCCAATGGAGGTGCTGATGGAAGAAGACTTCTTGAAAGGCAGGGAGCAAGTCTATGTTGATGCAGACCCATTACCACTGGAGAGATGCAGAGAAATCTCAAAGCAGTGGTTTTCAAAGTGTGATTCCCTGGACCAGTGGGGAACTTGTTAGAAATGCAAATTCTCAGGCGCCAGCGTAGGCCTATTGTGTCAGAAACTGCAGGTGGGACCCACCGTCTGGCACTTGAGAAACAGGCTGGGATGATGACACAGGACAAGCGACAATCACAAGACACCAGGCCCCCACCAGCACTGTTCCATGCAGGAGGGATCCAGGAAGAGCCACTTACTTTTTTCACACTTATGTCCGTACTTATTGGGGTCAGAGCAGAACTGACACTCGGAGCCGTAGAAGCCATCCTTGCAAATGCACGTCCCGTTGCCATGGATGCCGTCCACACACTGGGAGAGAGGAGGCGGGCCCCGTGGGCCATGAGACAGGACAGAGGCCGGTGAGGGTCACGGACACTTCCGTTTCACGCCTGATTTTGGACTCAGATTCAGTCCCACTTGAAATGGTCCTTGGGTCTCCTTGTGGGCAGTGCAGTGGTCTTGGGATCGGGAGTGCTGAGTGTGGGAGCCCTGACTCAGGATTTGGAACTTTAAGGGTTGCCATTCCAGGGGAACCACGACGGTGAACTGGAAACCTTCACACACTGTTTCAGGGGTGGCAGATGAGTGCCTGGCTTCCCCCGCTCTGTACTCTCGCTTGCTCAGCTCTGGGACTCCAGCCTGCATTTCCCCCTCTCTCCAGTGGGAAACATATTTGCTTCCCATCTGCCCAGCCCTGCAAAGCCAGGTTTGCATTTATTCCCTGCATCTGAGTTGGGCACAGGCTGCCTTCCCGATTACCTGGCCACAGCCCCTGGTACTGGCCTCTTCCTATCTGTATCTTCTATGTAAAGACCACACTCTTGTTTGTAGTTTTTCTTTCCCCTCCTAAGAGCCATGTTTTAGATATGGGTCTATAAGATGTTCACGGCCGCTTTGACTTCCATTGTTTACCTCTGGCCTCCAAGTTAGATGAGGTGATTTTGGCTTTTACATCTTACTAGGTCTGGCAGACTGGCAGTGTTACTAAGTGTCCTAGAACCCGAGGCCCCAGAACCTTCTGAAGGTGGGATGTGGGGTGCAGAGGGCCTGTTGAGCTGTCCAAGGTCCTACGGTGGGCAACAGGAGAGCCCGAGGGGAGGCCTCTCCCCCACACCTGTAAGATCCCGCCTAATGTGGTCACCTGCTGGTGCTTGTAGTAACTGATCTGTTTCCTTTTTCCTGGCCATAGGTGCCACCATCCTGTCATCTTTGGGTCTGGCAGTTTAAAAAATTATTGTGTCATTTTTTTTTTGTACTGGGGATCGAACTCGGGACCTTGTGCTTGCAAGGCAGATGCCAGAACCACTGATCTAAATCCCTGGCCCTTGTTTTTGTTTTTTTGAGACAGGGTCTGGCTGTGTAGTTCAGCGTGGTGTTGAACTCAGTATGTAGGCCAGGCTGGCCTTGAAATTTCGGTGATCTTCCTGCCCCAGCCTCCTGAGTGCTGATGTTCACCATGGCAGATGTTCACCACCATGCCCGGCTAAAAATTATTGTGCCATTTGAGCTCAGAGAGTCAACCTTGAGCATTCAGGGAATTGTGCATTCTCACCCAAGCGACTGTCCTCTCACCTGGCCGTTTCCTGAGCATGTATTCAAGACGCCTCCTGGACACTCGGTGCAGTCGGGCCCGTAGAAGCCTCTGCAGCACTGTGGGATCTGAGAATCGACCCTGCTTGTTGCCCTGTGAACCCCCAAGTGGAGTGCCCATCCCTCCAAGAGACACCCTGACTTCCATCAGTATAATAAACGACCCCAGCCCCTCCTCGGGGGAGCCTTTCCCGTGTGCATGCGATGCCACAGCTAGTGCTCAGCCATCTGGCCACCACCAGTCTATGAGCACCTGCCCTGGGTGCCCGGCTGGCTTTGGCACCGTGCATGGGAGGGGAAGGCTGGCACCCAGGGAGCCCGAGTGGTAGTCAGGGAGGGGTCCGTATGGGGATTAAAAGAAGTAATTAAGTAAAAGAGCTCTGTCAGAGAATGCTAAGTACTAGGGAGAAACAGGCAGCAGAGACAGAAGTCGGGGGCACTGGGGAGGCCTCGGCTTGAAGCCGGTGCTGGGCGGATGGGACCTGAAAGATGCAGAGCCCCGAGAGTCTGGAAGAGCACGGAGGGAGGGAACTGTATTTGTGCTCTCTCTGAGCCAGGAAGGGGCAAAAGGAGGGTTGATTCGGGCGGAGTGGAGGCCATGAGAGCGTGGGCTCTGTTCAGAGCAAGAGGGGCCCCGGGGCACAGGGCGGGGGGACCCAGCCACCGAGAAGAGCATCCACCCTTCTGTTCTCGTGCAGGAAGGTCTGCAAGGCCGGCGGGCCATCCCCAACCGTGCAGACCCCGGGGCCCATGGGCTGCCTGGCTGGGCGGCGGGGGAGGCCCTGGCCACACTCTGTACCTTCACAGTGGCATTGCAGTATCGGGCACAGCCACTCTTCGGGGCCTTGCTGCTGCTGCTGCTGTAGACGCATCTGTGTGTGAAGACCGCCTGGAAGGGAGGCAGAGAGTGTGAGCTTGTGGTCTGGGTCCCCAGGCCCCTGGGCAGCGTCCACGGTGCACCGGGGCTGGAGCTCCAGGGTGCACCGGTCACTCTGGCAAGGCCGTGTCCTTGCCGGCAGAACACCGGGCAGCGTTTGCACCATCTGTGGGACACGTCGTGGTGGACATCGAGACATGACGACAGACTTCCCAGGGCATCTGGATGCGCCCCAGCCTCCTTTTCCGGCTACACCCAGCCCAGTCCCTGCTACTCAGATGTCTCAGAGGCAGGGCGGAGTCTGTCTACACTGAGGGAAGATCCACTAAGCACAGCAGCGAGAGTGGGAGGTTTTCCTTTTGGAGTGGGGTTAGATTTAAGTGCATCCTTCTAGTCCTTAACCCTTGGTGCAAGTTAGAATCACCTGGTCCTTCTACTTCCTGGGAACTCACCATGGCGGGCACAGTGCTTAAATGAGTTCATCAACCTTCAACTCCAAGCCAACTTTCTCATGCTATTTATGTATTTTTGTGGTGCTGGGGATCAAACCCAGGGCCTCACACGTGCTAGGCAAATGCTCTACCTCTGAGCTGCACCTCAACCTCTCATGAGTTTTTTTTTAATAGATAAAGAAAGGCCCAAACAGGCTAAATCATTTCCCCTCCAAGAAACTCTGCTAGTAAGTGCCAGGTCGGAGACATGGGTGTAAAACTTGCTAACTTTAAAATCGCAGGCAAATCACACCTCTCTCGGTCTCTGCTGCCTAAGCCGTGAAACGGACCACGGTGCCGACATCCAGTTTTATTCTAGGAATTGAGCTCCCGGCTCCAATGTAGATACATGTTTACATCGTGTTTCCTCCGTCCTCTTAGGTTCTTGCTTAGGAAGTAAGCAGTGAGAAGTTACTGGGATACAATCCCAAGATCTGAGATGCACCAAGGGATTCTGAAGTCACCGAGGGAGGAGACGCCTCTGTTTCTTTTTCCTCTTCTTTTTGGTACCGGGGATCGAACTCGGGACCTTGCGCTTCTTTCTCTCTCTCTTTCCTTCTCTTGTGGTACTGGGGATTGAACCCAGCGCCTTTGGGCTACAACCTTACCTCCTCTTTTAGTTTTTATTTTGAGGCAAGGTCTCATTAAGTTACTAAATTGCCCAGGGTGTGCTTGAACCTGGGATCCGTCTGGCTCAGCCTCCCGGAGTGCCGGGATCACCAGGTGTGCACCACCGCGCGCCTGGTGGGAAATCCTTTCTTATCATGAATTTACAGGCAGAAATTTCTATCGTCATCATTATGTTTTTGTAACTTAGAACACTTTGCTTTTGTCATCAATGGAGTACTTAGCACGTGAAGTACATTGTTCTACAACTCTTTTCCCTCAGGTTGACTTTCTCAAGACAATACCAAACGAAAACAAAACTATAAATTCATCTTTATGCCCTGGAACCAAGCACAATGTCCAGTATATGATAAATCTCTAATAAATATGTGCAGATTCAAACTTGAAAAGCTTCTGATAGCCTAATATTACCAATTCCTAATATGTTTTCTTTCTTACTTTTAATTGGCAAAGGATAATTCCGTACATTTATAGGGCACAGAGTCATGGTATGCCATATGTACACGTTGTGAAATGATTTGATCAGGCTAATTAATATAATTATCCGCCTCCCACTTCACATTTCCCTGTGGGGAGGGCAGCTAGACTTCGCTGTTCTCAGCAGACTTGAAGCACGGGTCACTAACTGCATGTAGTTACCAGTCCGCGCCTGTCCCGGGAAATCACAATTTGCTCCCCCTGCCCAACTGAAACTCTGTAAGCTCCCTGACATGATATTTTTCTCCAGAATGATGCTTGCGGAGATCAAATACAAACAGTGGATTTTACTTAAGAGGGAGGAGTACAGAGGAGCCTTCACCGGACAGGCTGTTGGATTTCGGTATCTCGCTTGAGTTTTGTTTGTGCTGCTACGTTATTATGACTGACAGATGAAGCAAATTAGAGTAAAAAGGTGAAGCCCCCTGCCTCCCGTCCTTGGCTAAGCGCTGGCCTCCTTCGACCTCAGCTGCATTCAGGGAGGAGGGACCACACCGGTGGGGTCGCTTGGTGTTGCCGGGTACCAGCACCAGCTTGGTGACACTCACTGTGGGCTCGGAGTCGGCGGGACATTTACTCTCGAACGCCACCAAGCAGTTCACGCAAGAGCCCTGGAGGGAAAGACAGTGGGTCAGTGCAGAGGTCCCGTGGAGGACCGGGGTGGCCCTGTCCGCAGACTCACTTCCCTCCCGTGAAGCGGGCTCCCGTCTCCCTTCCGCCCCGGAGGGAGGAGCGAAGTCAGCCCTGGGCAGGGCCGGGCTCGCCCAGGGCGGGATTGCTCAGGGTGGCCCCTCCTCTCCTCTCTCTGGACAGAGCCCGCTGTCCACGGGCCAGGAGGGCACTGCCCCCGAGGGACTGCAGCTGTCACCAGCGTCAGGAACACAGTGCTCACACGGGTCCCAGACCTGAGGCTGTGTTCTCCAATCAGCTCAGCAGGAATGAGGCCTGGCAGCCTGCTGGAGTCTCCTCCATGGGCTCTGACCCAGGAGGAAGGGATCCCAGTGTGTGCCTCCAGTTCTCTCCAGGGCTTTCCTCCGACCTTCTCTACCTGTGCTGGGCCACAAAGCACGGTCTCTCGCCCCTCTGGTCAGCCTCCAACTGGCTTCGGCCAACTAGAGTCCAGCAGGGTACTGGTGGGTAGTTGGAGAGCGAGGTCAGGGATCTCTTTCTCGTTCTCTCTGTGCCTTGGCACTGCCCCTAGAACTCCTGGCGGACACCCTCTCCCCATTTCACCAACTTCGGGCAACTCTGTACCTTTCTTGGGGTCTTTGGTTCTGGGTGGTCAGGGTTGGCTACTGCTTCTCCCCGACTAGCAGAGTGTTACTTACTAAACCTCTGCAGCCCCACGTACACGTCCAGAGGTGCCTACGAGTTCAGCCAGGTGAAAACAGAAGCTTCTAGGAGGCTTCTTCCTGGCTGCTCTCACTCTTTGCTGGTCCCAAGTACGTACTTTCCAGAGAGCCTGTGTGGACTTAGATCCAACCCAAACCATCCTAAAGTAGGCCGGACAGATAGATGTGACTTTAAACCTAGACAGAATAATAAATAGGAGAGGAAGACTGCATTCTGAGGCAGCTCTGGGAAGTGCTTTTTCTACCTAACCACAATTTGGGGGATTTTAGCTCAAAATTACATGTTGATTCTGTCCTTTGGGGAGGTGAGAAAAAGCTTTGAATCATCTGAAACGGAACAACCCTGTGACCAGGAAGGCGCTGGGGCTGGCTCTGTCCTTCCACAGACTTTCTTCAGGGACCTGAACAGCAGCTGCCTGGGTGGGGATGCTTTGAAGGACGTGTTGAAGCCCTGAGGGCTTTCTCCGGCCTGTTCTGAGCCTCACCCTGCACTAACAGAAGCTTCTAGAAGGTCCCAGCTGCTCCCCCTCTTTGCTGGGAGGTGTACCCACCAGCGTGTGTTTCTAAAGAATAAACCAAACCTACATCACTGCTGGGGGGCTGGTGAGGAAAGTGATCCTATTTCTAGGTTTCTTAAAAAAGGAGGGGTCAAAATGAGACAATACTCCCCAAATGGCATTTGACGGACCCAAGTTATGCTCAATAGCCTAAACATCAATTAAGAACTTGTAAATCAAAAAGTCCACTGCAGTCTTGTGCTGATGCTTAGCTAGTTATTTCTAGCCCTCACCAAGATAAAATAAAACCAGGCCTTTTCCCCTCATATCCAGTGCTCATGCTCCAAAGATATCCTGAGAACAATCACTGATGTGCGTGCTACTGAAGTGTCCTGAAAAGAAAGACCTAGGCCTCTATGATGGCCACAATTTTAGGGTTGTGGTTTCCAAAGATTGCAGGTAGAGCACTTTTGGAATTTAGGGTGCTCTGATGAAAATTGCCAGAGCTCAAAAAAGTTGCTATGGAAACAGAAAAGGCTGTCAGAGGGTACAGAAGCTCATGGGGAAACAGAAAGTCTCGTATTTGGAAAGGACTACAGAAAGATGGATGATTCATTAGAGCAGTACATCTATCTGGGAAGATATTTGATTTTAAATCCTTCTTAGGACAAGTAAAGCTGTGGGCCTGGAGCCAGCTGGTCCAGGAAGAGGTAGGAGACTGATCCTAAGTCCCATGAGGGAAAACTCCCATCTGAGGTGTGATAGGGCGATGGATAGAACAGCATCTCTCTAACAGCCCGGGCCCTGAAGCCTCAGCATGCACCGTTGCTTGGAAAGCAGGTCTTTGCAGATATAATAGTGTGGTGAAGACGAGGCAGGGTGGTCGGGACGCTCCACGCCGGCCCTCAGGCCTGGGAGGAGCGGGATACTGCCTGCCCCAAGCAGCCCTCTGAGGCCTTGTTCTCTACATTTGGCTCGCTTCTTACCGGCCTCATTTCACTGTTGGAGTCGTCGCACCGGCTAGGGCTAGACGGGACGTGGAGGAAGGAGGGCGGCATGAGAACTCCAGCCAGCGTGTAAATGAGCCCATTTTTGACAGCGACCTCAGTGTTTTCTACGGGCACGCCGTTTACCAGAATCTGTCCCTGGAAGGAAGCAGTGACATGTTTCCCTCTGGGCTGCAGGAGGGCTGAGCCCCATGCAGGTGTGAAAGGGGTGACGTCCCTGAAAGGCCCAGTGTGTGGACTGAACGCCTGCCAGTAGCAGGGCTGGGCTGACGGGAGACAACGGAGTCTTCCAGGCGAGCTCCGGAGGATGCCGGGCAGGGACGTCCCGGCTCGCACAAAGGGCCTTGCAGGTCCTGGCTGGGAAGGAGGCGTAAACATTCCAGCCTGGAGGTGCATTTGCTGGAAAGTCGTTGTACCCTTTGTGGTACGAAGCTCTGCTTTCAAATCAGGGTCACAGCCCAATCACTTCTCGCCACTGCCTTGCACTGTTCTGGCCCGAGTCACAGTCCTCCCTTCCCGGACTGTTGTAATCGAATCTCTAGTCATCTCCCAGCATGCAGCCATCTCCCATCAGCCCTCTGCCTACAGTCCTGCACGGCTGCCCATCTCATTTGGAGGAAGCGCTGGGTCCTTGCCCTGGCTTCTGAGCCCTCCCCGCCCCTCCCCGCCCCTCCCGCTGCTCGGTTCTGATTCTGGCCACACTGTCCGCCATTCCTCTCGCAGCTCATGCATGATCCCTGCCTGCTGTCACTGCACTGTCTCCTCTCTGTCCCGGGACAGTCAAGCCACAGCCCTCACTCCTTCCAGTCCCAGCCCCGATGTTCTCCTCCTTGTGAGGACTTCTCGGCACTTTATCTCAAACGTCAGTCCCATCCCCACTTTCTATCCTCACCTGCCTTGGTGCTTTTCTCCTTACTACTCTCCGACTGTGACACATTTTCCTTATTTCACTTCTTTGCTCTCTAGCTCCCTATTTGTTAGTGTGAGGTTCTGCACAGTCAGGAGCTTTGGCCGGTCTGCTCATCTATCTGTCAGCAGGACCTAGAGCGGCGCCTGGCACACAGCACTCGGGAGGTGCTTGGGCAGAGGCTGAGATCATCATAGTGGCCATCAGTGTTGAGACAAGAGGAGACAATGTCTCTGTGCTCCTGGTGTCACCACCCTGGAGCGTTAGCTGAGAAACACTATGGAGTCATCGTCCCTCTACTCAGGGCCTTTGCACATGCTCTCTCTTCTGCCAGGAGCTCTGTTCTGCTCATCTCTGCCAAGTTCTTTCTACTCATCCTCCAAGCATGGTGAGAGCCCCCCACCCCCACCCCCCGACCCCGGCCCTCTGACTGCAGCTGTTCTCAGACTCCTGTGGTCTGGGCTCACAGTTCCCAGAGCTTCCTGTAGCTGCTGCTCTCTAAACTGTAATTGTGTGATTACCAACCCCATCATGAGGTCTTCAAGTCTGTCTTTGCTGCTGGGATACAAGTCTGCCTTTTTTGCTGCTTTATCCCTGGTGTCCAATGCAGACACCAGCACGCAGCTGCTCAGAGATATTTGCTGACAGCAGTGAGCAATGAGTGAAAAGGTCTGAAAGCTGTTTCCATAGGGCAGAGGCACCGTAGCACACACAGGACCTCGACCCGGCCATCCGGCGACCCACCCTCACTCACGCTGTCGGTGGTGTTGAACTCTACGATCTGGTTGGCCATGGTCGTGATTTGCCGGGTGGAGACAAGGGTGGCCACTTCCAGCTGTGATGACAAGGGTACAAGGGTGATGCTTGGAGCAAGGCAGAGCACCCTGATTTCTTAGTCCTTACTGCAGAAAATGCTCTACAGTTTACAGGATACTGAATGGGATCTTTGAATGCTGTGGCTGGGAAGATTTCTCTGATAAGAGACCCACTATTCAAGGCTGAGGGTTCGCTCAGAGCCACAGACAGAGAACAAACGTCACACATTCGCTACACTAAGACCCTGGGATTCCAAACCAGGGCCAGGTTTCTTGGAAGCAGGGAAAAGCAGCAGTGGGAAAAGGAGAGCAAACCTGGGTAAACGGGATAATGTGGTATCTGAGGAGTTCCAGAAGCATCCAAGTGCCCTGCAAAGAAGCCAAAAGACTTCAGTCAATGAAGAAAACACCAACTCTTCCTCTCGTGGGAGCCCTTCAAATGACTTCGAACTCTTAACCGGAAAGATAAATGACTCACAACCTCTCTGTTGGGGAATCCGGGATGAGAAAACTCACCCCCAGCCCCAGTAGCTCACGTTCACTGAATCTCCACCCGGACAGGGGCTGATCTGAAAGCCCCGTGTGCACATTTCCCGTAATTCGCCCAACAGCCTTGCGAGGCAGGGGCCACTGCCAACCTATTTCATGCGAGATGATATGCTTTCAAAGACAGTCCAAGGTCACAGAGCTGACTCAGGGGAAGAGCCCAAAGACGAGTCTGACACCGCTCAGCGCGTCTGGGTTACACTCTGGCTTTCCTGGACAGCCTTCCACTTCGGGTTCTCTGTCACTCCCTCCGCTTGGCCACACAGTGGTTACTCAGGAATTCGTGGCAGCAGGGATTGAGGCAGCTGCCTTTCCCTTGCACAAAATTCATTTTTGAGTTTCTCTCACTACAGAGAACTGAAGCAGCAGTGGAGATAAAAGAAGGGCCTAGAGCCCAGGGAGGGGACCATAGGCAGGATGCGCAGTCCCTGTGGGGACCCTGGAGGGGAGCCACAGAGTCAGGAGCAGGGGCCACGCTCTTGGGACGGAGGCCGTGGCAGCCAGGACCTCCTGCCGATGGGGGCAAGCTCCTTGCTGAGTCCCAGACTTCCTGGCCCCCGAATTCTGCCATTAGCCCAGCCCAGTTGCTCTGGCTGGGGAAGGTGAACAAAGCAAGGTCCCAGTAACTGCCAGGAGGTTGACAGGGCCCAGCACCAGCAAGGCCGGGCTGACTGAAAGCCCCCTGAACCTGGGTCCCCTCACCGCCTCCTCTGCATTCGGCCTGGGACTGTGCCAGGGGACTTTCCTGTGAGTGGTGTGACACAGCCTGGCTCGTCCGGTACAACCTTGGCTTATGCCTACTGTCCTGGCAGCCTCTGCCCTCCCCAAAGTGTCCTGGTATGTGGGAAAAACGATATGGCAGCCACATGGCTGAGCCAATAGCGTGGTGGGCAGGGCAGGGCAGCTGTCCGGCAGGCTGGACTCGACACCAGTGGCCAGCACTGGAGGTGATGCTTTCTGCCGCTCTCCTGCTGCTATGTGACCTTGCACGTGACCTGAGCTGCTCCATGGCATGCAGAAGTGCGGACCACAGGCAGGAGCAGTGCTACACAGGCAGCAGCGCTCAGGGGCATAGGGCTGGACTACGCGGGCCCTGCTGAGAAATGTGAGGCCCGACTGGACGGCAAACTCCTGGAAAGCAGAGGTGGGGTTTGCGGGGTTCATTATCACCTCGTCCCCACTAGCACAGCCCGCGTGGCACACAGTAGGCTCTTCATAAATTTTGGGCCCAGAAATTACGAAGGGGAGGTATTCTGGGAAAATAACTGAGCTGGATCTCAAAAACCTGAGTTTGAATCCCAGCTCTGCTTCTGGGCATCACTTCCAGTCTCAGTTTTTTCCTGCAAAACTTTTTCCCTGCATGCATGGAGCCTTATCTGGCTTGGGGCCACTAGCACTGGCTAGCTCAAAGGGGCAGTATGTGCATCCAGGGGCTGTTGGCCAGACCCCAGAGTGTCCTGCATTCTTTCCCTTAGGATGGCACTCGCTTCCTCCTGGCAGTTCTAGGTGAAAACAAAACAAACAAACAAACCCAAACCCCAAGTCCTAAGTTGCTAGTATGACCTTGAGCTTTGTACGTTCACCTCCCTGGGCCCCGTTTTCCTCGTGAGGAACCTGTGAATCTCTCAAGGGAGCCTCTCACTGCCTTCCCTTGCTTTTACTTCTGTCTAGCTCAGCAATGAAGCCATCGCTGGGGTGTGCAGTCAGCTGCAGGGGCTGGACGCTTTCCAAACTAAACTGTGCATCAGGGAGAGAGGCTCGGGTTAGGGGAACATGACAGTGCACAATTAGAGCTAGAAACCCTTCCGCTGGGAAGCCGGTTTGTTGCCATTTCCCTGGCACAGCTGACGGGACTTTACTGTCTGCAGAGGAGGCTCTTCCCTGACCTGGAGCTACGGGAGATTAGGAGGATGGAGACGGAGCTAGTTTTAGGGATTTTAACCAGCACAGGCTCTGGACCAGAGGAAGAGGCAGAAATGGTCATTCCACTCCTCTCCTACAAACTAAAATGGAAAACTCAGGACAGAGTTGTGAGGCTTCATCTTCTTTGCAGGCTGAAAAGCACTGGCTTTGAGAAAAACCAGACCTCGAGCCAGGAGCAGCGGTGTGTGGGGGCCAATTTCCGTGGTATAAACATTCCCACTGGGCCTGACTGAATGAGCTGGAGAGAGGAGCACACGAGTCACTCGTGAGAGCCCGGAGGGGCCTGCTCCAGGCACCGCGAGGGGGTGAGACAAGAACAGGAACAGCTTTCTGAACAGTGGTGCCTGACAGAAAAGACCAGCTCCTTTATCCTGTTCTATTCTGGTTAAAATGCTTTATTTTAACTGTGTTTTCTGAAAGCAAAAGATTCTTGTAGATATTGAAAAATACTCTAGAAGAGACTGTATCCACGTGAACCTTCAAACCAAAAAAGGAGACAAGTTTTAGGAATTTAAACAGTGTAGCCAGGACTATTTGGGTGAGAAAATGGGTGTTTTAGCAGTAGGTATAATTTTTGGGCCTCGCTAACCAGAATCTTTGGGCTGAGGCTCTGGAGCCTGCTTACTTAACAAGCTCTCTAGGTGATTTCTAACCTCACCAAACCTTGGGAGTCATTACCTAAGAAGATCTGGGCAGCCGAATCAACATCCTTCTAGGTGCAGTCACAGGCAGTATGGCCGTATCACCAAGATGGCGGCCTGAGTTCAGGGCACAGAAGGAAGTTTATAGCCTTCATATAATTCTACCATTTGTCATGCTACCAAACATTCCATAGTTAACTGTTCTTTTCTTTAGGTCATAGCTGCTATTTCTGGGAGAGGAAACCTTTCAGGTAGTTTCAGTCATTTTAGCCCCAGTGTGAAACAGCTAACAATTTCCTTTCTAGTGAAGAACATGACAGAATTGAAGGCCTATGGTCTACAAGGAAAGGATCATAGTGGAGAGAGATGGAAGCAATATAAAGGAAAGGGTAGAGCATTTAAAATAACATTTGTTCCTGTGAAAGTAGTCTAGAGCCTGACCCTGGCTGGTCTACTTTGTTTATCATTTTTCAGGTGGTTTTAGAGTAGTAGGGAACTTAAAATATTGATTTTAGTACTGTGAAATACTGGAAGAGCCAGCTCAAATCAAATCAAGCACCTACTCCTGGGGTTATAAACAGATCTTATTTCCTTGACTCATCAGAGTTATTTGGATCTCCATTGAGGAGACTGAAGCCACATCTAGGAATAGTTCCAGGGTATCATGATTGATTAATGATGTCTGCCTAGGTTGTGGGAAGGCAAGCGGTGGTACATGTGCTGCTTATTAGCTAACCCCAGTTTAGCAAAAGCCTACAGGACACAGACTGGGGCAGTGAGGCTGACCCAGTGCCACCAGAGTAAGCAAGATACAATACCTGTGGCGAAAGAAGGTAATGAAGATCACGGTACTTCATGTTGTTCAGTGCTTCATTACTTGGCACAAAAATGGTGTATGATCCAGCAACACCTCTCACCTCTAAGTCATATATCAAGTTGACAACCTGCATTTGAGAAATGAAGCTTTGTACTTGTGATCTATTTCAGAAAAATATTTGAAGCAATTGTCCAGAAAATATTTATGGTTGACATCTCTGCTAATTTTACAAAGGACTCAACATACACATTTTCCAGAAATTCATGAAAGGCACAAACCTCCAACAAAGAGCAGAACTTTTTGTGTCTTGATGGTAGCACTATACATATGGTTTCCTGCAAAGAGACATTTTGCTTTAAGAATCAGTAAAAATATAAGAAAGTGGTTCAGGAAATAAAAATCCTAACATGAAGAGAAGGAGTATAAATTCTGACACTGATTATAGTTGTGGATTCATATAAAAGGACCTGGTCGACTGCCATCCATTAAGCAAATGTATGTTGTTACTTAAACAGTAGTTGAAGCCTGTGTGTTCTGAGTAGCTGTGGCCATTGTCCTATAGGACAGAAAGAATAGTTTTATCACAATAGCGACTGCTGTTCTCTATAAAGCAAGAGGGTTAAATTGTCATGACAGTGGATCACTCAGGCGGGTTGTCTGATGTGGCCCTAAGAGATTAAAAAAATTCACACCCCCCAGGACATGTCTTTCTTTCTCTGCAGAGATACTCAGAATTCTATTGAAAAGAGATAAGTCATTGCAGCTTCTCTTAGCCTGAGGTCCTCTCAGAGAGATGAAGGACAATCTGCAGTGCTGCAAACACTTTCTTCCTGGATATGCGTCTCCACGGAACAAAGGTGATGGATCAGGATGGCAGCACCTCTACCTGAAACGTCTCACCTTGGAGTTGCTCTTAAAGGTGGGTTCTATCTTGTCCATGGCTCTGTCGAGGATGTGTATGAGGCCGTTGGAAGCAACGATGTTCCCCTCTATAATTTTTACCTTCTTTTTGCCTTTATGAAGTTCAAGCTTTATTTGATTGTCCTAACATACCAAAGAAAGATAAAATAAAATTAATGTGGAGTTGTGGGAGGAGCAAGCACTGGACTAGAAGCCGAAAGTCCTGAGTCCCTGGGACCTGCCACCTACTGGACATGAGATTTTGGGTAAGTATTGTGATTTAACACGAAGATGAAGGTGTCTGTATGGTTGGCCTCACAAGGGTTTCGTGAAATCACTGATGACCTCGGCATGTGACATGTGGACAAGGTCTTATGATGCCCTCCTCCAATAAACTGCAAACTCCACAAGACTGAAGCCACTCAGTTCCCTGTAGACATCTCACTTGTCTTGGTGGGATACGCAGAGGAGGCATATGGTACAGAGCTGCTGAATGAATAACTGATGCTAATTACTTCTTCCACCCATGTGGCTCCTTCAAGTTCTAGACTTAGTAAATGTTTGTTGAATTAATGACTGAATATATGCCTGTCCTCGTGAGAAAGGAAACCGCGTCTTCATGTCTCTCATTTATACATTACTCCATCTATCCACCCATTATCTATCTGCCATCCACCCACCCACCCACCTCACACCTACAGTGCAGCAGAACAGTTACTGCTGAGGGCTTTGGAGTCAGGCAGGCTCCCAGTCGAATGCCAATTTTGGCCCTTACTGTGTGACCTCTCCACTTTCCCCCAGGGAAAACAGGGGTTATGATAGGACCCTTTCACAGGGTTGTTGTGTTTTCCATAACCCAGATACAGATGCATCCCCATGCTCAGCACAGGCAGGACACTCAGCCATCTATCAACTGTCAGTATACTAGGTAAAATACAATGGAAGCCAGACTTAGACATAAACAAGCTCTTCCCAGTCTTGGCCAGTTCCTCCTACCTCTCGGATCACCCCCTCTCCTTGTAGCTGTAATTCCTTGTTCGGATAAAATTAACAACTATGTCCTGTAAACAAAGTTATGACACTCTGCTCTCATATGATTCATGACTCTACCTTCTTACGAGGCTAAATCACAAAACTGTCTGCCCTTTTCCTGCTCTGGTAAACTCCCCTGCTTTGATCAAATGTATAAGAGCTAGAACTTTTCTTTGTTCAATGCTCTTCCTTTGGACAGGAGTGATGGCATAGCCCTAACCTGCACATGCACATTCTGTGGATTAATCAGTTGCTCTCCACTTAGTAGAACAGAACGTTAGTGTGTTTATTTAAAAACACACAGAACTAACAGCTGTGGTAGAGAAAGAATGCTAAGCCAGAGAAGAGGGCTCAACTCTAGCAATCTAAAGACAAGCATGGCCAGCTTCCTTCCGGAACAGGAAGTGCTGGTGGAGCTCCGTGCTGAGGTTTCTGGGAGACAGGTTTAGAGCAGCTCCTCTTCCTGCTAGGGGTGAGGGACGGTGGCCTTGAAAACTAAATCAGGCCAGACTCATGGCAAACACTGCGAACCCCCTTTAGGAGTCGTCCACCCTCCTGCCTGGCCATGGTGCTGTTTTCTGCTTCGCTCGACATGGAAATATTTGACAAACATGGGATAAGGAGAGAAGCTCTTCATACCTTTCCACGAGCCCCAGATGCAAAGAGCAAGAAGGCCATGAGCACTGGCTCTGCAGGCAGCATGGTCCCGGAAGGAAGCTCAGTGAAGTCCGTACCTTGTCCTGGTTGAAGATCTTCCCGGACGCCCCAGTCAGGGTGTAGAAGGTGTTGGTGTTGTTCATTCGCTCCGTGCTCATCTGCCCCGCGATGATGTGGAGCTTCACAAAGTACCGAGCGGCCTTGGGGTCCATCAGCAGCTCCGTCACCTGAGGACAAAGAGCCAGGGGGATGAGTGCTTTCTAACTATGCACGTCTGCCTTTTCCAACATCTCAGACGTCAAAGCCAGAGCACCCTGAGGTGCACACTTTGGGGTCTTTCACGAGCACAGCAGCCCTGCGGAGCCTCAGGGAAGCATGTGGGAATCTGGAGAGGTCAGTTCTTGAGTCATCGGAGGCTGCAGCAATAGACAGACTGCCATGGTGCCTGGAAGACCAGTTGCGGGGCGAGCGCCGAGGAATCTACCTGAGTCCAGGAGGCCGGGCAGGAAATACGCTGAAGATTTGTGAGAAGAGCAGGAAGAGTGGGCTGATGATGCCTCTGAGCAGCAAAGCTCTCTGAAGCCCCCTGCACCGAATCTACACTTTGTCACCAGTACACAGTTGGCAATCACTCACCAAGCAGGTGCTTCTGATCAGCTCAGTGCAAACTTTATGTACTCAGCTGGAGACCACCTTCCTCCTCCTCCTCCCCAACAAGAGAGACGAGGACATCTGAGGGTCACCAGTGGATGACTCATCTGGCCACATGAATGGTGGTGGGGATAGTAGGGTGAGCAACCCTGGAACTCACTGGGTTTTGACTCAATGCAGCAAAAATTATCACCGCACATGTTGGGTTAAGAGAGCCCAATCAGCAAGTCCATTATTTGCACTATACCAAATGTTTCATTGATATGACCCCAATAAGATTCTTCCACCAGACACAAGTTTAATTCCTACTGGATGACTTTGTCTCAAGCGTCATCTGCTCACACCGAAGAGCAAATTTTTCTTTTTATTTCCTGTACCATGGGTGCAATTTCTGACAATTTTAAAGAAACAAATACCTAGCTAAGGCATTCACTTCATCCTTCCTGTGGGAAATGAGCATTTTATATCATACAAATCTTATTTATCACATGGCTATGTGTTAAGAGCCTTCAGGGTTATCCATGGATGGGAAACGTTTGGAAGGAGGCTCAGAAGGGCTTCTAGAATGCTGGTGATCACTTCCTGGCTGCACAAGTGCTTCCACCTTGGGAAAATCCATTTAGCTGTACACTTATGATCTGTGTACTTTCTGTAAGGACATTTCACTCAAAGAAGTTTATCAAATGCTGTATGTTTTCATTCATGTGTGGAAGGTAAGAGACTTGATTTTATAGAAGTAAAGAACAAAATAGTGATCACTGGAGACAAGGAGGATAGAGGAAAGTAGGGTTGGAGAAAGGTGGGATAATGGATACTGAAATATGAGGTGGATTAAACTGTATGATGAATGTTTGTATTAAAAAAATTATTCCAGTAAAAGGCACATTGCCCTTAATGCACCGTAAAAGCCTTCCCCATACTTCAAACACATGTTCCCATCATTCTTGCCACCTTCTGCAGCGGTTCTGAAGTCCTCTTTCTGGAGTGTCTTTAGTTTTGTGGCTCCTCGATGTCAACTAATTTGAAAATGTTTCCCTTTCATGGTCATTTTGACTTTGGGGAAGAGCCAGCAGTCACACAGTGCCAGATCCGGTGAATCAGGTGGACAAGGATGCACTGGCATGTATTTATGAGCCTGCCTCTCCACTGGACAGCAGTTGGCAGCGGCATTCACGGTATTTTTGATCACATCTCATAAGACATTCATGAAAGAGGACTTCCAGGGCTGCTTCAGAAAATGGCAGGAATGATGGGATAAGTGTATTTGAAGCTAGGGTGAGGATTTTGAGGGGGAATCAATGCCAATGTGTCTTTTACTGTAATAAATTTGTTTAATGTAAACATCCACCATATATTTTGAGCACACCTTATACAGTTAGACAGGAGAAATAAGTTCTAGAGTTCTACAGCACAGTAAGCTGACCATAGTTTATGATAATTTATAATATGTTTCATAAAGAAGTTGAAGAGAAGAATGTGAAGTTTTGCAACACAAAGAAATGATAAATGCTTATGGAGGTAGAAATGCTAATTACCCTGACGCGATCCTAGCACAGTGTATGCATGTATTAAGGTATCCTACTGTACTCCATATCTATGTACAATTAGTATGTGGCAATTAAAAATGGAAAACATGCTTATCAAAAGCTCACCATCCTTATCTTCAGTAGGTTTAACTTGAATAGAAGTTTCCCATCTGCAGTAGAGGAAGGCATTGTATATGAAAGGCTTTTGCATTTGCCCTCGGTGCAGGGCTGTTCTAAACACTCACATTGATCGAGTTTGGTGCCTCTTCCAAGGGCAGCAGCAAGGTGAACGGTCCCAGGGTGCTTAGCGGCCAGGCATAAACTCTGTCTGAGGAGTCGAGAAATGCGGAGAAGGGAAATGTGGACAGGTGAGAGGTGCGTGAGCAGCGTGGCTCTGGGAGGGCCGTGGGTCAGGACAGGCCCGTTTGCGCCCTTCTCAGGTCTACTTGCTACTCATGGGCCCTGTGTCCACTGAGCAGCTCTGTAAGGACGCGAGGCACCAGGAAGCATTGGCCCTGCCCACCTGCAGAACTTTCTGCAAAGCTCCCTTCCCCAGCCTTCGCTTCACAGGTACCCAGATGAGCAGGTCACACACGACAAATTCCCCCAAGGCATCAGGTCCCTGCCACTAAATGAGTCTGGTGTTCTGAGCTGCTGCCATATCATGAGCAAAGCTGTGGTCCCCACTTCCATCCAGGACCTGCTCAGAAGAGTCCCTCACTGGACTCATGCTCTGCTGTCAGCATCTCGAAGCCTCAGTATTTGAACAAGGCATCTGGCATTTTCATTCTGCCCCAGACCCTGCAGATTATGCTGCAGCCTATGTCCCTCACCCTGGGGAGCTGGGACACCAGGCTGGGCTCTGGGTTCTCACACAGGAGGGAGCGTGGGCCAGCACTTGGTACCGGGAAGGGTGAATGGGCAACAGGACTCTGTCCAGGGGGGTGTTTGAGGGTCCAGTCTGCAAAGGACACTCTGACACCCTGACTGCTGTCATCTGCATCTGGGAGCTCTTGGAGGGAGGGTGGCATGATGTCCCTAAGCTCATGTTGCTCCAGTAATGCATCATCCCCTGGGATGGACCAGACAGGATACTTACTTCCTTGTGTTCTTTCTGCAAAATCATTTTCAGGGACCAATACATTAAAATACAAATGCGAGTATAGTAAGGCTTCTATTGACCGCTTGTCTGTGATTTTTGTTGATTGGCCAAATGGATGTTTGGTTGGAAGTCTTGCCCAGTACCTACTCTTCCCTCTCGCCTGCCTGGCCCACCGCAGGAGGGCAGATCCTTGTGGACCAGCCTGGCTGGCCCTGCCTACTGCCTGTGTCTTGCAGGAGCCCTGCCCAAGAGAGGGCTGCTTTTGAGAGGAAGGCTGCATGCCTTCGAAGCGTCCTCTGCGTCCCTACCCAGGAGTGAGATGAACGAGGTCAGCCTTCCTTGCCATTTCCCCCTGGGCGCAGTGTTGAGCTCTTGAAGTCGCTCCATGATGTTTCCATAGCATGTGAAGCCGTCGCCCACGTAACCTTTCTGGCAAGTGCATCTGCAGGAGGGTGGGCACATGCTCAGGGTCCACAGCCACTGAATATTGAGATCACACAGTGCAATGACACACACACACACACATTCTATACATATATATGTATATATATTTGTTTGTTTGTTTTTTGAGACAGGGTCTTGAAATGTGGTCCAGATTGGCCTTGAACTTGCAGAGAGCCTCATGTCTCAGCCTCCTGAGTGCTAGGGTTACACCCATCTCCAATGCCTCGTTTAATAGACAGGGGAAGCAATACCCAGAAGGGAGCAGGGACAAAGCCAGGAGAGAAGCGAACACAAGAGTTCAAATGCAGTACTGAAGACTCAGGGGTGACTGAAATATCCCATGAATGTTTAAATTAAGAAAACGAATACAGTAAACTACACATTGACATTGGTCCCCCTCAAAATCCTCCCCCTTCAGACACACTCATCCCATTGTTCTCGGCAGTTCTGAGGGTCTATGAGGTGTGATCAAAACGTTTTGTCAGCTGCTCCTCAGACAGAGGACCGACATCTAGAATACACAGGGGGACCTCAGTTCACGGAAGCTCTTGTTTGTGAACAACTTGGTTTGCAAGCAAAAGCATCTGGCAACATTTTGCTTTTGTTTGCAAATTCTATGTCAGGTGACAAACGTGACTGGGGTCATCCTTCCTGCACAAACACAGACGTGGCTATCTTTTCCCAAATCATAGAACAAATTAAGTTCGGGAACTGAGGTTCCACTGTATAGAGAACTCAAAAAAGTTAGATCTTCCGAGTAAAAGACCCATTCCCCAAAATGGGCAAGTGAATGAACAGACACCTTTCAGAAGCACAAATGGTCGATAAATACGTGAAGAAATGCTCAGCATCTCTGGCCACTAGAGAAATGCAAATTAAAAAAACACTGAGGGCTGGGGATTTAGCTCAGTGGTTCCACCGCCTGCCTTGTAAGCGCAAGGTCCCGAGTTGGATCCCTGGTACCAAAAAACCCCCCCAAAAAACAAAACAACACTGAGACTTCATCTTACCCCAGAAAGAATGAGCATCATCAAGAAATCAAATAATAACAAATGCCGGAGAGGCTGCAGGGAAAAGGACTCCTTTTACATTGGTGGTAGGAATGTAACTAGTACAGCCACTATGTATATCAGTGTGGAGATTCCTCAAAAAACTAAAACTAGAAATTCTATTTGGCCCAGCTATTCCTCTTCTAAATATCTTCCCAAAAGGATTGAAGACATCATATTACTGTGATCCATGCATACCCACGTTTATAGCACAATTCATAGTAGCTAAATATTGGATGCAGCCTGTGTGTCCATCAGCAGATGAATGGTTAAAGAAAATATGGTATTTCCACATAATGGAGTACTACTCTGCCATAAAGAAGGGTAAACTTGAGTCATTTGTAGGAAAATGGATGCATGGTGAGTCCATAATATTAAGCGAAATAAATCAGACAACCAACCTGAAATAGCACATGCTTTTTCTTATATGAGAAACCCAAAGTATAAATGAAGAGCAAAATAAAAGATAGATAACAGGAAGCAGGGAGACAGATATTTCTCAAATTGGAAGGGGATCAGGAGACAGAGTGAAGAAGACGCAGGGAAGGGAAATGAGATAAAAAAAGATGTGTTGTATATACTCCCAGCTCTACACAAGGAATGTAAACATTACGTATTACAAACATATGCTAATGAAAATAACCTGAAAAATAAACAAAAAATAACAAAAAATCAGACAAAAATGCAGTGAATGCTGCTGCCGAGTCCCCTAAAAACATGATGCTGTGTCCTCATCCACCTTATTCACTGGATCTGGCACCATGTGACCTCTGGCTCTGCCTGAGTCAAAATGACCATGGAAGGGAAACATGGGAATTGATTCAGGACACTGAGGCAGCCACAACAGTGCAGCTGGAGACACTCAGGAGAGAGCACTTCCAGAGCTTCTTCAGAAAGCGACAAGAACATGGGATGAGTGTGTTCAAAGAAGGGGGTAGGATTTTGAGAGGGAGATTAATGTAATAAGTAAAAAAATTTAAATGGTTTTGATGGCACCTTGCCTAGTTGCCTTCCAGAGCAGGTTAGTTAATAAGCTACCCCCACTCATAAACAGTAGATGTCTTTGTATGCGCTTGGTCTCAGTCTTTTTCCAAGTGTGGTCAAGAGACACACCATGGAGAATCACTTGGCGTCTTTGCTATGAATGCAGATTCTTGGGCCCTCTGTAGAACCCCGAACTGGAGTAAGCTGCCACAGCCAGATGGCAGGACAGTGGAGACTCAGAGCTACTGTCTGCCCCCTGGAACGCACTCCCCTACTCCTTCCTCCCTGCACCGCTCCACTGCCCCTTCCTTTGGGGAGCCTTCCTTGACTTCCCGTGTGTAGATCAGCACCCCTCTTTGTATTCTTTCATGGCTCCAGGTCTGCAGCAGCAATCACAGACCTGTCCAGTTATGTCATGAACATCTGCCTCCCTGTCTGGCTCAGAATAGTGAAGGAAAAGGCTGGGTGCATCTGCTCCAGGTTTCAGCCCTGGATGTAGCACAGGGCTAGGCGGACACTTAGTAAACAGTCGTACAATAAGTAGGAATTGAATTAAACAGATAACGTAAACAAAGAATTGATACATAAACAGTGAATCAGTATATAAACAATGAAAGTCTTAGACATTTTATGAACAGTGTTGTAAGAGACAAAGAGTCACAGATGGGTAAAGGTGTGGCCACTGTATCTCCAGGGAGAAAGCTCTGATTTATAGCACTTGCCAATTTCCATTGTTTATCTTCCCACTTTGGCCAATTTCAAACTGTGAACACAGTGCCAACGGGCTTGTAAAATCCCCGAGGACTGAGCACCCAGCTCTTGTGAATCATAAGCCCTGGCTATCCCAAGCCACTGTGACCCAGAAGAGGGTCTTGACAGAGTGCAGGCGGAGGTGACATTCACAGGATCCCAGGGCTGAGGGAAGAACCAAACAGTGGGCAGGGGAGGACCGAGCCAGAGCGTGGAGTTAGGGGTAGGTGAGGACGAGGTCTGACAGCATGGTGTTTTTGCCATGGTTGCCATGCCACGGGCCTGGCTCTCGTCAGGGAGCACTCTGCGGGGTCACAACAGTCTCCCGGGCCCAGCGGTGCTTCTAAATACGGGCCTGTGGCCCATGCGTCTGCTGTGGCCAGGCTGTGGAGCAAACCGGACTGGGGCAGGGCCTCCCGACTGCCCTCACTGCCGTGGGACCCACACTTACACCCGTGGCTGCCATGCCAGCAGGGGCCTGCGGGGTCCTCTTCCTGCCGTCTTCTGCCAATTCCAGCAGCGAGAACTGCCAAGCCGCTCTGTCTTGTTGTTAAGCTTGGGTGTCTTTCCAGGCTGTGCTGCCCCCACTGAGAATGCTTGCGGCCCTCCCCTGGTGGCTCCTGTGTCACCTGCTCTGGGGGCCCCGCTGGCCCCCTGGCTCCCCAGCTGTGTAGAGTGGGTGGTGCCATTCCACCACTTCCCGTCCTTCCCTGGATGGGACCCTCGCCGGGAACGTGGGTTTCTCCCTCATCACACCTTGGAAACTAGGACAGCCCTCAGTGCTGAGCTGAGTGCTTACTAAGTACCTGCTTAACTCCAGGAACTGTACGAGCTAAAGGGCTACAAGATAATAAAAGCCGCTTTGTCCTTTATAGCCTCTCAACACGGTTAGGGCCACGTAGCCTCCCTGAGTCCCAATTTCCTCATCTATAAAATGGCTTTAATAGCAGTACCTTTACAGTGTTTGACAGAAGAGATGATGAACGAGAAAGAGCTAGGGTGGTGACAGCCACGTGCTTGGAGATGATGCTGATAATGATGATCTGGGTGCCCATGGCGATGAAGAGGGTACGGAACAACAGTGACCCCTAAACAGGTCACCACGTTCCAGAGTGAGCGCCATTCAGAAGGCTGGCCAGGATGCCATGGGATGCCTGTCTTCACGGAAGTGACTAATTCTGCCCGAGGAACAAGGGATAACTTCCAGGAGAAAGTAACATTGGGCGAAGTCTAGGATGTGTCTGAGTTTCCCGGCTGGATGGAGATTATTTACTGATTTCAGGGATTTTACAAAGGGGTCATTCTTCCTGGGGACAAATGCCCCGCGCCTCCAAGGGACAAGAGCAATTGGTGCCTGGAGCCATGTGGGTCGTCACAGTGGGGTGGGGATCTCGGGGTATCCAGTCAGACTAAAAGGTGTAATAGACAGTGTGAAATAGGAAGAAAAGGGGCAAAGGGGAAGGGGAAGTGGGAGGGGTAGGGGAAAGGAAAGAAGGGAATGGAATTAATAGGAGAAGATGAAAAAATGGAAACAAAGTCTTTGTAAATAGGGAGGGATGAAGGGGTTGAAGGGAGGGCAGGGGAACGGGTAAAAATAAGAACCAAGAGAGACTATGTAACCTTAACCCACGAGACATGGGACTGTCCTGCACTAAATACCAGTGAGGCTGAGGCAGGTTATAAGGACTCACGAACGTAGATCTAATCCTGAAACAATATTGGTTTAATACAATCAAATAAGTTTCTGGCTACAGTGTCCACTTCCTGTCCAGGAACCTGCTGTGCTGTTCAGAGAGAGAGGGACAGGCCTGGAACTTGGGAGGGCCTCAGAACTGGTCCTGGTTTGAGTTTCATGGGCTTTATTCTCCTGAAAGTTCCTTTGGTTGTTATGAAGGCCACGGTCTGCTTTGTGTAAAGTGAGAATCGTATTTAATGGCTTCAGTGCTGAATGGAATGCAAGAGACATAAATATTTTCACATTTTATTTTACAGCTCAGTCTAAAGCCTAAGACTTTATGGGACTGCTTTCTGCATGAGTCATAAATATTTTTGCACTTTATTTTACAGCTCAGTCTAAAGCCTAAGACTTTATGGGACTATTTTCTCATGTGGTCTCTCTAGAGCTATGCACATTCACAGCCTTGCGACTTTTCTAAGCTATTTTAAAATTTGTATTAGGAGTCCTGCTGTCTTAAGGCTTTAAAATCACCCATGAGCCACTTGCACCATATAAGTTTGGGTTGGAGACAGTATGGCTGAATGCAGAATGAGATTCAGTGTACTAGAATGTCCCCAAATCTTGGTGCTGTTGCTTCCCTCATTTGTGCACTAGTTCAGTCCATTCCTTCGTTGGCTGATGTGTCCCCCCCAAAAGTATCACTTATTTCATTGTTCTAATCAGTGACAGCTTTTATAAGATGAATAAGACGTGGGCCCCCAAGGACCTTGTATTCTAGCTGGGGGCTGAGATCAGCGATGATAATATGTACTAGCACTTATTAATGGCTCCTGTGCCAGGTACAGGTATAGCGCCTCACTGTAGCCTCCAATAAGCAAGCCCACATGGTGGGGCCATTTATCAGTGCCATTTTGGGTGAGGAGACAGAGGCACAGAGAGAGTAAGCATTGCTGAAGAACGCACGGCCTCTGACACCATCCTATGTGCTGACCACAGCTCTGGCCCTGAACACTGGGAAAGGAGCCCAGGCAGCGGCCCTGGAGGGCAGCAGAGGAGGCCAAGAGGAGATCAGTCAGAGTGAGCATTGAAGGTTGGTGTGTTGGCCGGACTCAGAGGGGGCGGGTGTGCTGGGAAGGGATGATCCAAGTAGAAGGAAGACAGGCATGGGGCCCGGACTGGGGACTATCACGACACACTTGAAGAACAGCGCAGTTGCCTCAGTGTTTGTGTCCCCCTTAAATTCACATGTTGAAATGCGAAGCGCTGATATGATATCAGGAGCCAGGAGGTGATTAGGTCATGAGGGTGGCGCCCTCACCCTTGGGATTGGTGCCCTTCTGGGAGAGACGACAGAGCCCTCTCTGGGCCCCTCACCACCATGTGACAATGTAATGAACAAGAAGGTGGCCGTCTACAGCCAGGAAGGGCCCTCACCAGAACCTGACCATGCTGAACCCTGGTCTCGGACTCCCAGGTGCCAGAACTGTACCAGTCTTACACAAACAGGAGAAAAATCAACGTCAACAACCATCCAAGAGTCTAAAAGTCACTGTTGTTTACAGCACTTTTGTGCAGTTGGAATGTAACCCTGCCCAGTCTGGGCCTGTTTTCTTTTCAGTTGATAAATAAGAGCAATGCTGTCTCCTGCCCCCTTTTCCCTCTCTACACTCATAAGGAAAATAATAAAGGGCAACCATACCAGGCAGGAAGCTTAGCTGAGCTTCTCAGGGACCAGCACAGTGGAGCTCAGCATTCAAAAGCAGCTGCTGTGCATTAACTGGGCAGCTCTGCACAGGAGGCACTGTTGGTCTTCAGCCCGCTTGCTCAGTGAGTAACTGGTTTAGAAGAGTTTGGACTTGTCCAAGCGCCCCCTGGTGGTGAGTGGTGAGACCACTCTTGACCACATTCTAGACCGCGTGGTCGTCTGTGACTACCACAGAGCGCTTGTGCAGATCTTGCACGAGCCCTCACCGTATGGAAGATGCACAAGGAAAATAAATCTTTATCCCAGGTGAATTCAACTACCTGAGGGCCTGTGACTTCCCATTTTGTCAGTCTAACTTAGCCAGACTTTTCACCTAGGCCTCTTTCCAGGTAAAGAGTCTGGCTATCTCCACTCCACCGTGGCCAGGGTGGAGCTACTCACTAGTGTGGGGAGACGGTGATGGCCAGAACACCTGTCTGGGTGACTCTGCACCCCAAGACGTGATGGTCCAGGAACGACCCTCACAGTGGCAGGTGGTGGGGCTCAGGAAGCACAGTGCACTGTCTGACTGCAGGGCTCGGCGTCTCCGTGACTCCGAGCTCACAGTGGCACCTCGAGTCCCTCCAACCGGGATGGCAAGAACGAAGTGGAACAGACATGGAAACCTCAGTCTGGAGACCCAGGACCTGCGTGCCAGCCTCAGTCTAACTGCTAATCACAGCACAACAGGTGCCCCGCTGCAACACACAGCCCCTCCCGAAGCTCTCACCACAGCACGACGGAGCCGGCACCACTGTGCTCACTCGACACACGGAGAAACTGAGGCCAGAGAGAAGCAACCACTTGCCCCGGTCAGGCACCAGGCGGGGACCAGGCCAAGACGGCCCCTCCCTCACCCCTTTCCGGTCACATGAGCGCCTCTGCCGGAAGAGTTTTTACACAAGTGTTTTCGAAACCTCACGATGAAGCCCTCTTCAGAGGCCTGGACTCCGGGAAACCCCTCTGGACGCCTTCGCTTCCCCGCTTTCCTCGCACACTGCCAACGAGCAGTGCTTCACACGTGAGGAAGCAGACATGCGCATCAGCGGTCGAGTCCGGCAATCCCAGCAGCCGCGCGTTTGTGTCTTCCCAGGCACAATGGTTTTTTTTTTTGTCCTGTTCTGAGCATTCGTACCCAGAATCAGGCTGGCTGCTGGGTGTGGTGGCGCACACCTGTGATCCCAGCACTCGGGAGGCTGAGGCAGGAGGATTGCTGCACGTTCAGGCCAGCCTGGGCTACATAGTGAGTTTGAAGTCAGCCTCAAACAACAACAACAACAACAACAACAGCAGCAGCAGCAGCAGCAGCAGCAGCAGCAACAACAAATCAGGCTGGGCCCAGGGGCCGAGGGCTCTGATGGTTTTTACCAAGGAAATAATTGCTCCGTGATTCACTGATTAACCAGAGTGTCTCTGAGGCCCTCGGAGGCCCTAGGGGCAGGGTGGCTATAAGGCTGGACAAGACGCGTCCCCTTCCTCATAGGAGCTCACAGCATCCAATGGCCACCCCTTCCGCCCTTGGGGAAGATGGAGCTAGGACCAAGGACACTCACCTGGGCTGGCCCGGCTCGATCATGGTGCAGTATGCTTTCCTGTGACACGGGTTCTTGGACTTACAGAGGTCGGCCATGCTGCAGCCCACTCCAGGTACGAAGTTGTGGTAATGCTGCTTACACTCACAGTGCGACTTCAGAAGACCGGAGAGAAAACAAACGGGACCCTAGTCAGTCACGCGGGCCGCCACTGTTCTTTGTTACAGCTTTTGGTCCTGGGGCTTGAACTCAGGGCATTCTACATGGCGGGCAAGTGCTCCACTGCTGAGCTACATCCGCAGCCTTAGCCAAGCTTTAATTCTGCCATAGAAGCTCACTCCAAGCAGGTCTGAACTACAGACTTAAACTAAAATCTTGCCAAAGCATTCAGAAATGGAAATCATGATTGGGATTCTTACCTGTTGGGGAGTTTACACTGATTGTTTGTACAATTTAGCTCTTCAGCTTTCTTGTTTTCTAACCCTGACTATATAGTTCTGGTTTCAGACTGTCTATAGGTGAGCAGAGAATGAAGTTCAGATGAGAGGTATTATTAATATTATTATTATTATTATTATTATTAGCGGTACTAGGGGTGGAACCCAGGGCCTCTGCACTGAGCTGCATCCTCAGCTGTTTTTAAATTTTTCTTGTTTTGGGCTATAATCTTGCTGAGTTGTCCAGGCTGGGCTGAAACTTGGGATGCTCCTCCAGTGGGAGGTGTTACTGCTCTCGAATAGTGGGTTTCAACTGGAGGGCTCACTCAGGGGCCACAGAAGGTGGCAGGGACACTGGATTGTCACCAGGAGGAGGCTGGGGCTACTGGAGGCCGAAGGCGCTGCCACACATCCTGCTTCCTCCTCTCCCACCCCAACAAAGAGCGTCGCAGCTCAAAGCATGCCTAGCTCCGAGGCTGAGAGGCCCCGCAGTGCCCAGGGGGAGCAGGGGTGGGGTTCTACCCCTTGCAAATCTGCCTTGTTTCACATTTTAAAAAATTTATACTTATTTTTTAAATTAAGTTTATTTATTGGCACATTTTAGGTATGCAACACAGTTACATTCACCACTGGGATCTTATATCTTCACATGATGTTATCTTGTTTCTTATTTTTTCCCAATTCTCCGCCCCTCCCTTCACTCCCTCCACCCCTCCCTTCACTCCCTCCACCCCTCCCTATTTACAAATAATTTGTTTCCATTTTTTTCCTTTTCTCACATTTTTTCTTTTCCCTTTTTTCCTTTCCCCTATCCCTCCCATTTCCCCTATTCCTTTAGAACTTTTCTTCCTATTTCCAATATCAATTATACGTTTTGATCCTTATTTACACTTTCAGTTTCTCCCACCAGAGAAACTATTCGGTATTTACACATGTGTGTCCTATTTATTTCACTTAAGAGTATGGCCTCAATATGCATCCACTTAGCT